ACCGTGAAAACAATTATCATAAATATTTAATTTATAAAACTTGCCCATGGCAACAATCAAAATTCAGATTTACATAAAAATAATTCTATATAAAAGTTTATTTATAATTAATACATTGACAAGTAATTTACCAGTATAGCACTTAAAAAATACTTTGGGGGGGGGGTGACACAAAAAATAATGGGTGGGGTATAGTGGTCGGAGGAAGAAATTTAATTTTTTTTTTTTTTTCGAGAATTTTAAATACATTGATCATCAAAATGCATAATTGACAAATGAAATTTGAACATCAATGTTTTCTTTTTTTTTTTTTGTATATTTATGTGGAAAACTAAATTTGCGTTGTGGTGTAACAATAATGGTCATCGGTTTGGATTAATGAGAGATCAGGTAGCCGAGTTCGAGTTCCCGTCGGGTTCGTTATAGTCACTTACGCGCAAATACCCCCAGCTATAGGTTGAGTAGCAGACTGGGCAAAAACAAAAGCAATCTACTGCGGGAAAAATTTGCCTAGTCAGACATGTATCGAAATATGCATGATCGCCCAAAAACGTGTGACTGGAAAACTAAAACATTGTCTTGTTTCCAAATGGCATTTGGAAAAATAACCGTGATTTGTTATGAAAAATTAGAGATAAGGGTTCTTTACATGCTATTGCCACAATTTGCACTTGTTACATCATTTCTGAGCTTATTTTCAAAGTCAGAGAAAGAAAAGAAAAAAAAAACAATGTTTTTTAATGTATCAGATATACAATAATACAAAAAAAGAAAAAGAAAAGATAACTTCTCTTTTGGCAATTTTGATTTGATAGAGAAAGTAAAACGTTTATTAATTAATTACAAAGCAAGTGGAAGCTAAAATGAAAAAAAGTTGATGAGAATGGTAAAGAATTCAAATAAAGAGTAGAACATCTCTAATGACAAATATATCGGAAAAAAATGTAAATATTTTTCTTTATTAAAGGATTGTCAAAAGAATTTTAAGGACAGGAAACCGGGCGGGGAGGGGGGGATTACCCTAGCAACAATTTTTTTGCGTTAAATCCGATAATCTAGATTCTAGAATAATTAAATTAAGAATTCAGAAAATTGTCTAATTTTTTTAAAAAACATTTTTGCAAGTTTTTAACTTACCAATTAACAATTTAAAAAAAATAACAAAAAACTAAAAATCTTCAATTAATTTTTTTTTTTATTCAAGACAAATTTTGAACAAAATAAAATCTAAAAATATAATCATAAATTACTAATTTAAAAATAAAATGAATGCTTGAGAAATTCTCACAAAAAAGGAAGGAAAATAATAATAAAAAAAATAACTCAACAAACAAAAAATTTTTTTTTCCATCAACCGTAAAAACTAAAAAAAAATTGTGTATTTTCAGTTTGAAAAGGTTAAACTACGAATAAATTCATTATGTGATTGATTTTATTGCAAGACGTAAAAATTTAGAAAAAGTTTTTTTTTTAAATTAACTTTATTTAAAAAACAAAGCAACACAAAAAACGAAGGAGTTAAAATTTTTTGAATCCATCTGTAAAAATAATGAAGAATGTGTTTATTAAATTGTTAATGGCTGGATTATTTACGAAGCCAATTGATCGTAAAAGTTGATGAATTTCACATAACAATCTAAACAATGAACATAAAACTTTTTCGTTTTATGAAATGAAAAAAAAAAAAAATTCCAAAAACTAAAGGAAAAAAATGATAAAAATAAATGACTTTCTTCTCTTCGTAAATAGTGTAAAAAAATTTAAAAAAAAATAATTTTATGCTTACCTATAAATAGTTTGTAGGTTCAGTAGCGGCCCTTATTTAATGTTTATTGTTTTTTTAAAAAATCAAACTTTTCTTTTTGTAAAACATGAGGAAATCAATGAAGCCGTCATAAGAAAAACTTAAAATGGCCGCCTTTCGTGTTGAATTTGCTAGCGATAATTTGATTGGACAATTCGTTCTGATTGTAAATGGCGATTAGCCAAAGGTTTAGCCTCGTTTTCGTCTCTTATTTACCGGAAGCAGCATGGTCTCTATTACCGCTATCCTAGCGATTTAGAGACAAGGAACCATTCGCTATTAAAATGACAGGCGGGACGTGAAGTCAGTTTGTTATTTTTACGAGGGTAAAATATAAAAACAAAACAAAACAAAAAAAAAAAAATAATTAAGGTGGGTATTGAGAAGGGTTTTCATTATTATTTTAAAATTAATATACATAAGAATTTATGAAGGATTTGGTACATTTTTAATTTTTGGAATATTTTAACCACATTTAACTTAGACTAAATATAATTGTGATTGAAATTATTTCTCCGACAAAATTATTTGTCATATTGTTTCAATTTATTTGCAAGAAGGAAATTATTTTTAACAAACTAACAATAAAAACTTGTCTAGGAGTCATATCTTCATATTTTTATCAATGTTTTTCTTGAATCGAGCGACAGAAATTGCTAAAAAATCGTTCAAAAATGTCGAAGTAATAAAATAAAATAAACATTTTAATCCAAATTTTTTATAAATGTTTTTATAATAAAAACATTTATCAAATTTTATTTAATAAATAAATGTCTATTTTAACTTAAAATAAATATTTATTAAAAGCGTTATCAATGTGGAACTCCTGCTAAATTTTAAAAATTCAATAAATTTTCACGACATAAATGGTTAACGAACGTCGATGGTTGCTTTTACAGATCAGTTTGTTGCTAGTTCAATCCTCACTAGGTTGCACATATTGTGGACATGAATAGGTATTTTGGGATGTCATGAGCCTGACGTAGGCGATGGTATCCCTTCGAAGATTGCTTTCCTTATCTGTTAAATTAATTGCCTTGACTCCTTGGGAAATATATAAAAATGGAATAGTTTTCTGTTGCTTTCTCTTCGGTTTTGAATTCAGAATTGTTCTAGACTGGCTACAAGACAAGGATAGCGCCCTGTCTACCAAGAGAGGTTTTCTCCATGGCTGGCAGTAGAGGGATGGAGAGAAGAGATTGAGTCGTTGTCACTTTTTATTTGTTTAAAAGTGAATGCAATACTAGACTAGATTTAGAACGTAGTAGGGTGTCTTGCCGTAGAGCAATGATTAACAATAACATTCTTCATTTGCAGATCATTACTACAGTGTTTCACAGATTGTTCCATATTTTTGAAGGACTTGTGCTAAACTACTTAATAAATATTTGATATCTTCAATCTTCAACCATTTTTAAAGAAAATATGTTCTACTGAAAATGAATGACTTTTATTATTGTTACATGTGTAAGTGTAATTCACTGAGTAAAAAACTGCAGATTACTAATTGTTATTTTGTAACCCTGAGTTGTGACTAACCAAAAAAAAGTGACACTTTCAGAAATAGTCAATGTTATTGTTATGTAAACTCTAACATGGAGTGTGTAAAGATGCTATTTGAGCTTTATACCAAATTAAAACTTAATGATTAAATAAAAAAAGAAAAATTAAACTAATAATAATTAAATAACCTGCATGATGCGTCTGTGACTAGACCGTCAGTCTAACAAGTACATCCATACTGACAGAATATTTCTTCAAAGAGCTGTCAGACTCCTACACTCAAAAATCTGTTTAGGAGAAGTAAAAATCAACAAAAATTTCTGACTATTGGTAGGTATTACTACTAACATTCCAATTTGCTGGCCTGTGGCTTTTAAACTCCTGGGTTTTAAAGGTGTAGGTATTAGCAACTCCACCTTAAAACTTTGAACCCAGACCTTTTTATAGTGATATCCATTTTCTTCCTGCAACTCATGTAGGTGGGTATGTAATAAACATGGAAATCCTTCAAAAATCTTCATACACAAACAAAGACATTATAATTCACCACCAGATACCTTTGGCATCTAGCATCTGCATACTGAAGATGTCAGGAAATGTTCCAGTATTTTTTTTTATTTTAACATAAAAAATGAAGAGATAGATTACTACTACTGAGGGAAATTAATTACCTGAAAGCAAGTCTAATAGAATTACAGACGTAAAATCATAATTTTTAACTGTTTGTCTTTGTGGGATTTACAAAAAAAAAAAAAGTAATTTCCAAGATATTTAACTGTAGCTATCATCAAATGCTCCAATCTGCTTTATTTATATTGAGAGATGCAGACTTTATACGGAATTCTAGTACAGATATTATTTTCTGAACCTTGGTAGTGTTCTTTTGGCATAATCTTAAAAAATTCATATTTTGTGAATAAGCAGTTTCAGGATTTTTACTTCATTGAGAAAGTTAGATTAAAGTATTCGGTTAGGGTTGGTATTTTATTTCCTATATAGAACCACTAACTTTTATTTTCATTTTTTTTTATGTATATATTAAACAAATTCATTAAATAATTTCTACTGTATTCTAAGCACTGAAACTCACACAAAGATTTAAAAGTAATGATTTATTTCTGTGAAATGACATCATTATATATAAACTTGTGTAGAGAAAAACTTTTTCAATACCATTGGCAAAATGTAGAATTGTCTGTGACAATGTCTATCTGTTTAATGAAGTTTTCTTCTTTTCCTTTGTCTATTCAGGTGATATTAAGACTCACAAGTTTTTCTTTTTAATTCCAAATAAAATATTTCTATCTTTATATGCAAACATGTCTTTCAACAGCTTATGACTACAAATGGCTATTATTGATAAACTCACGGCCAACACAACATTCTTTTACAGATATAGATTTAATTGTATGCTAAAAACTTTGAAACACTATGCAGGTTCCAGCTGACATGTGTGTACATTTGGTGGGTGTAATTTGTTACCATATACCAAAGGTCCAAAACTGTGTTTACAGTACACATTTACTATTGAATTTTGTTGATGTTTGTGATTTGATTAACATCGAGAAGTGGTTTATTTTTTGGCTTTCTGAAATAAGACACCTATTTACATTTTCTCTTGTGTTCACTAGTGATGGAACAATCCACGTTTCGGCAGACAGAAGATCGCCATGTATCTGTGGAAGTCAGTTTTATGGTTTGGTCGCCCAAAATGGACCTCATGGCGTTGGCAAATGTGCAAGGGGAGGTAAGTCATTCAATTTATAATTATCTACAAAAAAATAAATTATTGGTATTTAAATATATAAAGTTATGGCCTGTTTTAATTCCTGACCAATTATAATCTCTTTCTTCCTGATTTTTAATGAATTTCTGTAGTTAAATCATTCAGGTTTTTAAAATTATGCTTTAAATTTGTTTTTTTCCTTTTAAGCACCATGTTGTATGCACAATATGTCAGATTAAACAAAATTTATTTAAAAAAATTAATTATTAAAGATGTTAAAAATAATTTAAAAAATTAAACAAAAACATAACCTACAGTTTGAAATTTCTTATGATAATTAAAAGCAATCAATTATATATAAGTCAATAAAAAAATATTTGAAACAAGTAATTTGACTGTACAAGCCTTGATTGTATGCACCATAGAATGTGTTGTATGTACATGAGTAAGGGAGTGAGTACGAATTGGTACATGGTTTCCTTTTATTGTTAACCAAGTTGCACTCTTCATAGTACAAAGTGAAAACCAATTTTTATTCCATTTAACTTGCTAGAAACCAAACAGCAGTCATTTTTAAATGATTAATTGCAATAATGTTCACTTGGAAATTAACATTCTAGTTTTAAAAAGTAGCAGGCACATAGTATTTATTTCACATAAACAGTTAATCATTGAAGTAACCTAATGATTAGCATTATACCTATGAGAGTCCAATTCTATAATTCTTGCTTACATTAATTCCTGAACAGTGACAATCCCTTTCTTTCCGATTTTCAGTACACAACATGGAGACTGAGTACTAATACTTGCTAAAATTGATTTTAGGTCCAAAAGTTAAAAAAGTAAATGATTAAAACCTCAAACTTTTCTTTTAGAGAAAATGTTATGATGATTTTCACTCATTCATAACAATGAAATCATTAACATTCTGTGTATGTGTGTGAGCTGATATCACAAATATGAATTCAAGATGAAGCTTTTAATATTTATTCATCTTCTGCTAGGAATTTTATGCAAAATAGAAATACTGATTTCAAATGCATAGTAAGAAGGTAGAACTGGTACGTTTTTACCTCGACCACACAGAAGACTAAAATAGCCAATTTTTGATAAGTGTTTGGTTTTAGTGAAGAATTATAAGTTACGAATAACTGAAAATCTTGAAGCCTAACAAAATGTGCATGAAAATTAAGACTTTGTTCCCCTAAGCTTCAGAAATTGAGTTGGGTTCCTCACATATCAATTCTTTCAGTTTATAAAAATTTTGGTTTGGTAGGGAACTGATGAAAAATCTTGCAGAATGCTATTCACTCGACTGCTAATTTTTATTTCAGACATTTGGTAAAATTAGCTGTTTTCTGCTGCAAAAATGTGACAACTTGACTCTTTCTGGAATCCAACCTTAAAGATAGGCAAGACTGGCTGCTTAGTAGAGAAAGGTTGAAATATTTATATTGACCACAAACTGACAAAAAAAAAATGACACTTTAAAGCATTTTGTACTTTAAATTTAAGGAGATTAACTTTTAGTGGGGCTAAAGAAAAAGCTCCAATTACTATTTTTTCTTTTCCTTTTTCCCCCCATAAGGTTGTGCTACATCGACTTTCTTGGCAGAAGGTTTGGACCATTCCTGCACCAGCAGATAATGTAACAGTTGGAACCTTAGCTTGGCGTCCAGATGGTCGAGGTTGGTGCATCACATTTATTAATTTGGTAAAATTTAGATTTGGGTGTTTATTTCCATCAGTGAATTCTTTTTTATTTTGGCCTTGTTATGATGTTGATTTGGGGTTAGTAGAGACAAACACCAAATAACACGTAACAATAAAAAGGGTTTTAATAGGTTGGTAAAAAGGTACAGAAATCGCCTGAGTAGTCAATAACTAGCTCAGCTAAGAACTTCTCTGTCTATCTGTCTTCTTTCCATGTCAACTGACATGCCACTATTTAAAGTCTTTGTTCGCAGACGCAGACAAGTTCATCTTTAAGAGGGGTAGTCGGTTTCCGACACAACACCTCCCCCTTGAGATTAATTCCGGAGGAATTAATATCTTTTTCTTTTGGGATCTGGACTTAAACGTTCCACCCTAGTTCTTTTTCTTTTGCTTGTCCTTTTTTGGACAACTGTTTCAGGCAATGGTGGAGTTGGTATATCGAATAAATCATATAATACCTCCATTGGTTCTTCATTTTCTTTACTTATTTCTTCAATGATTCTTTTCCTTAATTGGTTCAAATGTCTTTTGTGCGTCCATTTTTTACTTCTTATCATGTATAACATCTTACCAATTCTTTGAGTTACCACTCCATCTTGCCAAAATTCCTTCCCATTTTTGTAATTTTTAAAAAAACTTTATCTCCCGGCCTGAGATATTTCATATTTTCCTGATGCGTTTTGTTCTGGTAACTCTTTTTTTTCTTTCTGGCAGCAGCCTATTGAATACAGATCTAATTTTTTCTAGCAAACATCAGTTCAGCTGAGGCATCCCTGATATTGCGTTTGGATTTGGTGTTATTTCTGTATATACTTAAAACTGCTGTATATTACCATAATCTGTATTAGTACCATTTGTTTTTTTAAGGGCTCTCTTGAACGTATCAACAAACCGTTCAGCCTGTCCATTTGACCTAGGATGGTATGGTGAAATCGTGATGTGGTCAATTCCCAGAGTCTTACAAAACGTCTTAAATTCACTTCCTGTGAATTGAGTTCCATTGTCGGTGACAATTTTTTCTGGTACTCCAAAACGTGCAAACAGTTCTGTAAGAAAATTTTTTGTTACAGAAGCAGTTGGTCTTTGCACTTAAAAATTTCAGGCCACTTGGAATAGCTATCCACAACTATCAAGTAGAAATTACCATTCATGGGTCCAGCATAATCTATGTGGAGTCTGGTCCATGGAACATCTGTTTTTGGCCATGGTGTGTATTTTACTGGCGGTGCTTTTGCTGCCATTTGACACCCTCTACAAGTTTTAACTACTTGTTCAATGTCTTTGTCCATATTTGGCCAATAAATGTAACTCCTTATCAGGGCTTTCATACGTCCAATACCAGGATGCCCCTGATGAAATTCCTTCAAAATCCGCTTTTGTAGTACAACTGGTATCACGACCCTTCCAGCATATAACAGCACTTCATCACATATTGAATATGCTGGTGAAGAAGTTTTATACTTTTCTGAAGTAATTCAACAAAATGGTTCCCCATCGTTGCAAACGGTTTGCCGTATGAGTAGGTATACCCTTCTTCGAACCATAGATTGAAAGCAGCGGGCGATGGTCGGTCGGCAATATAAACCTTCTTCCATGTATGTACTTATGGAATTTTTTACAAGCATAGATGATAGCTAAGCTTTCTTTCTCAATTTGAGAGTACTTCTTTTCTGCGGGTAATAATGTCCTTGATGCATGTGCCACTGGCTTTGTATTGCCGTCTCTGAATTTATGCAGAATTATTGCACCTATTCGTACTCGCTTTGCGTCCAATGCCACTATAATTTCCTGTTTAGGGTCATAATGTGTTAGTGATAATTCCGACGTCCAAAATATTCTTTATTTTGTCAAACGCCTTCTGACACACTTCTGACCATTCCCACTTTTGCTCCCTTTTTAAGCAATTTATTTAATGGAGCCATAAGGCTGCACAAATTAGGAATATATATCCCATAATAGTTAGCAAGTCCTAAGAACGCTTGTAGCATTACTACATTTTGGGAGTTGGCATGCTTTTTGATCGCTTCTGCCCTCGCCGGATCTGGTCTTCTGCCATCAGAGTCTATTATCTGCCCCAAAAACTTAATTTCACCCATAAAAATTCACATTTTGCAGCTCAAGTTTGAATCCATATTCTTCAATTTTTTCAAAAACCTGATTAATATGTTCCAAATGTTCATTTCGATCTTTACTTTTTATCAAAATATCATCAAGATATGCAATGGCGAAGTCAAACCCTGCCAGCACAGTGTCCATAATTTGCTGAAAAATACTAGGGGATACTTTTAAACCAAAAGGCAGATGGTTTAATTTGTATAAACCCTTGTGTGTATTGATAGTCAACAATTTAGAACATTCTTTGTCCACTTTCACTTGGAGATAGGCATCCGATAAATCCAATTTAGAGAATATTTTTCTTCCATTTAAACTTGCAAAAATGTCTTCTGGTGAAGGCAAAGGATATGTGTGGTCTTTTAAGCAATCATTTAGACCTGTAGAGAAATCGGCACACATCCGAATTTTATTATTCTTTTTCTTAACATATACAACAGGGCAGGCCCACTCTGAAAATTCAATGCGTGAAATAACTCCTAAATTTTCAAGCCGTTCTAATTCTTTGTTAGTCTGTTCCAAAATACCAAATGGCACATTTCTTTTTCGCTTGAAAACAGGTTTTACATTTTCCTTCACTTCAAATTTTGCCTTCGTCTTTTTGCAACATCCAAGACCTTCTGAAAATAGATTGTGGAAATTTTATTTTCAGATCTTTCACCAAATTTTCTGTAACCCGATTTTTACATGGAGAAGAAACATTAATTCTATTGCAAAAAAAAGAATTTATAGGGAGTTCCATAAATTAAAAAGTATAATCCAATCTGTTCCAAACAAATTTGAAGCATTTTGTAGCACATACACTTTAGACTTTAGTGTCTTACCAACAAATGAAATATTACAAGAAAATTCACCTTGAAAATGCAATTTTCTTCCAGAAATTTATTATTATAAAATTATTCTATTCAATCGGGAGACTCATAACGATTGAAAACAATGTTTTTGTTTGAGTTTGAGTTTGACCAATTCGTAAAAAAAAAAAAAAATCTAATTAAGACATGCGTGTCCATCAACCTTAAACAATAATCTTTGTCAATTTTATTTTTCAGTCTTTATGATGGTGGATACTTGATCTATCTCTTACTGTTATATCCCCGGGCAATGCGGGCTCTACTGCTAGTCCACAATAAGCACAAGTCTTACTTCTTTTTGGCACGTTGAAATCCCATTTCTTTGTGAAGAACAAAGTTCGACGTATTTTTTTATTTTTTTTTTTTCATGGCGAGAAAAAAAAAAATTTATATAGTCCACCTAGAGTTGAAAAATTCTCCACTCAGCGTGATGAACGAATCTCTCGTCGCCACTGTTATGATGTTGATTTGGGGTTAGTAGAGACAAACGCCAAATAACACGTAACAATAAAAAGGGTTTTAATAGGTTGGTAAAAAGGTACAGAAATCGCCTGAGTAGTCAATAACTAGCTCAGCTAAGAACTTCTCTGTCTATCTGTCTTCTTTCCATGTCAACTGACATGCCACTATTTAAAGTCTTTGTTCGCAGACGCAGACAAGTTAATCTTCAAGAGGGGTGGTCGGTTTCCAACACAACAGGCCTCTTTATGTTTGCAGATGTTTTGTGATTATTATTTTTTGATACTCGCAATGATACTGTTTTTGTCTTGATTTTATGTAAAAGCCTAAAATGTACTTGAAATTTAGTTTTAGATAAAATCTTTGGAAAACAGAAGAAGACTACTTTTAAGAATGGCTTTCTTTTAAGGAAGCATAAAGTGAACCTTGAAAAATTGTTTTTTATTCTTATTCTCCACATTTATTATTGACCTGACAAAAAATAGTTGGTTTCGACCCCAAGCAAATACATGAGAGATTTTTACATACATATATATATATATATATATATATATATATATTCAGCTGATTTTCATAATACAAAAATATCAGATCTCTCTCATCAATATGTTGATTTTTCTGAATCAACATAATCAATATTTCTATAATCTGAAGTGAAGACATGATCTTTGTGTTCTAAATTATTGTGCTGATCTAACTGTAGTGATATTGAAATAAGTCTTTCCTCATTTATATATAAACACATAGATTTGTATGTATAACCCTTCTATTACTGATGAAGGGGCATTCAAGTAGGAAACCTTGAAACACTTCACATCACTAACGATGATTGATAATTTCTTTTTTGCTAAGTACTTTCATGATTTGGTGGCTTTAAAGCAAGTTTGATGTGAGAGTAACAAATAAATTATAAATTGCTCACCTATAGTACTTATCTCACAAGCTGTTGGTAATGTTTTGTTTTCATAAGATACTTTATAAATGTATCCTTATGTTAAAGTGGTGTGGAACAAAAAAAAACAAATTTATGTCAAATGAATGAAATATGTTTGTGTTTCAGAACATTATACAGGCTGGCCACTAAAAGATTGTTGAATGATATAAAACAAAAATAATTTTTACAAACACATGTTTTTTTTAATTTTTTTTTTTTATTGGAATATAATTAATGGATTTCAGAATCTTCTGAAGCAATGTTCTGGTGATGCCTAGTTGAGCAGAGCAATGACAGGTAGAAGCTGATGGATCCTCAAGGATACTCTGCCATACAACTTTCAGTGCTGTGTCAGTGCACACAGTGTGCTTAGGACCTTTTCCCAGAAGATTGCCAACTGATCCAGTTCTTTCAAACCGAACGATTAGGTTCTGAATCATGTTATCGCTAGGAGATACACTGACATTAAAATATTATCGGTATTTTCTTAGAGTTTGAATAATTGATCTTTTACTGGAATAGAAAAAACTCAATGAGTTTTACTCATTGCTGGACATTATATGTAGTCATTTTAATTCTCCAACAGATGCTCTTATAATCTGAAAAGAAAGAAATTAAAAAACAATTGAAAACCAACAAGTTATGACTTTTTCAAATCCTTCAGTTTTTCAGTGCCCACCCTGTATAAGTGTATTTCAAAGGTATTTATTCTTAAAAACTTTTACTCCAAAGCTTATATCATGTACAATATTATAAATGCAATCTAGATGTACCTTTTATTTCAAATATTATAATGTCAGGTAAAAGTATTGGGATTCTGGCAAATTTAAAGTATTCTTTTAAACTGTACTTCAGAACTGCTGGAAAAGAATGGAAGTGGGTGTAAATTTAACAATCTTTAGCCATATTACTTGAAGCTGATTTAAGTGTATTAAGGCTGTTAATTTGTCATTTGAAATAATGGCCATAACTAGATGAATACTAGTTATTGATTATGATGTTTAAAAACAAAAAAGAAAAGCTGACCCCTAGCATTAGAAAACTTTCACAAGAGATCAGATCATCAAGTGGTACTTTGTATAAAATCGTTAAGAAATATACTGGAGGTTAGAACAAAAATGAAAATACTTATTGTTGACTATGCTGACTTTTGTGGTCCTACCTAGGATTGAACTCACCATCCTTGGCTAACAAGTTTCTGACTTCTACTCCTCAGCTTAATGGATGTGTTCTAAGCAGTGGCAGTAACAGGCTTGTCTCCCTTTCTGCCAAAGGGAACATTTTTCTATTTGTTTGCTGAAGTGCTGTCACTGAGTTTATTAAGCAAGATCCTCTTTTAACATTTATGATTCCTTATAAGGAAAATGATGATAATGATTTTCCGAACAATGAAAATCATTAACATTCTGTGTATGGCTGAAAGCTGATATCACAAATCAGTATGAATTCAACAAGGTGAAGCTTTATTCATCTTCTGCTAGAAAATTTATGCAAAATAGAAATACTGATTTCAAAAACATTTCAGGTGGTGCTGAAAAGTTCTTGGCCCAACTAAAGAGCCATTTCTAAAAACAGAATCTGATGTTTATTCAGATTTAGAAAATGGGTCATACTGAAAACTTATCACCCTAACCCTTGTATATACAGAAGGTTTCTTGTATTTCCAACTTATGTCTCAGTTAAAAAATTAGGATTTTAAAATGTTGAGACTGTCTCCATTTAGAAGCTTTAAGATTTGCCTGTTTAATTTAATGCTGGATGAAGGATGATTTAGTAATAAAATGTCTACATTTTTAGCTGCATATCAGACATTATTGTTTTGATCTTAACATTTGTCAGTGTGTTCTGTGGCCCTCCTTTGGCCCATGTGATCTTTGTGAATACAGTCATAAAATCATCCTAAATTCTATTATTGAGCTACAAACCTTTTACAATCTCCAGTTTGTAGGTGGGCATTGGAAAAGTGAAAATACAATGTTTTCTTTGTTCTTTTGAAAATATCTTTCTTTTATGAACTTTTCCATTAAATACATTGTTTATTTTTTAAAATCTTTTCTTGAAAATGCAATTGTAGAAACAAATTAGTGAGGATATGGTCTGCAAATCATTGTTGGTTGTTTCTCAAGTTGCAAATAATTTGTTTATTTTTATTTCAGTGTTGGCTGTAGGTTACAGCAATGGGACAGTTTGTCTTCGGCATATTGAGAATGCTGATGTTCTGCATGAAGTTGACATTCAAGAAAAAGTCACCAGTATGAACTGGGTATCTCAGGAATTTCCTGAGGGAGAGTTGTGGTCTCCAGGAATTTATCCAGAAGATAATTCTGTTCATTATCTTCCAAAGTTAGAACCACTTAATAAAAGGTAAGAAAATATATGAAAAGAATGTTGGCTTGTCATGAAATACATTTTTCCTTCCTTTCATTTTTTTTTCCTTAACAATTTTGAATCCTGAGTTTTCCCTTTCCCCAAACATTACGTTTCCTGCCTTCTGAGGCTGTTTGTGAGTGTATGTAGGGAAGAAGTATGACATAATAATGAAATAAGCTTTCTATATGTCAACACAAAAAATCAACAGCGATCCCCAACCTTAGGCAAATATATATATCACAAAACTGTCTTCCATTTTGCTTCTTCAACTCCCAGTATCATAATTTCTTCAGAACCAGAGAATCCTTTATTGCTCTGTCACTGTACTTCCATCAATGTTCTTATCTGGACACTCTAACCCTGTCTCATTAGTCCAAATACAATAGTATAAGTGATTTTTTAATAATTTCAGTAGCCAATATTTCAATTTATGTCACATCCAAGCCATTATATCAACATTAATTCTTTCTCATACAATTTGTGCCTGTATGGCAACTCTTGTTGGTTTTCTTTGATATTTGTTTAGTGTCTGAAAACAGGATACAGTGGGTGGGAGTAGAAATATTGATACAAATTTATTTATCCAGCTAAAGATACAATTCAAAATGTGTAGCAAGTTCATTGCCAAAGCTTAAATTAAAAGAACTAGATTTGTATATAATTTTGGTGTCACAAGATTTACTTTGAACTTCTTTGCATCTCTTCTTGAAAACAGAATATATATATATATATATATATATATATATATATATATATATATATATAACATGGATTTTTAATCTGACATTATTTTAATTGGGTACACATGTTTGAGTTTCTATCTGTTTTTTTTTCTTAAGTAGTGAAATTAATAATAAATTTAATTCACCATCAAAGGGTAATTTCCAGTGGTCTTTTTTTTGCAATGAAGTCATGACATTTGTAGTTAGTTCTTTCTATTCATAATATCGAAAATATTTATTAAAAATCAACAAAGAGAAATTTGAAGCTGATTTTGTGAATATTTTTAGGTTTATTTTTATCATCTTCATAACATTTGCAAATAAACATCAAAATTACCTATAATTTGATTGAATATTGATTCTTTCCTCTTTCAAAAATAAAAATTTTTTTAAATGTTATCAGAAGGAATTAGAATTTTACTTTTTACTGCAATTTTATTTTCATGTTTGGTGTGGGTCTTTTATGCTTTAATTTTAGGTAGAATACCTCTTTGGTAGAATTCTTAGCATAATTATTCTACTTAATTTTATTTTCTAATTCATCAATAAGATTTATAAAAAAAAAAATCAACTTGAAAATTACTTCATAAAATTTATCAATATTGACATTGTTTTCAAATGGCAAATTGCATGGTGTTTAATATTCTATGAAAAGTTTAATATTCAAATGAATCTCTTTACTGGCAAATGATTGCCTATTGAAACATGGTGCTGAAGATGGTCATGCTTATTTTATCCTCATTAGATACTCCACTTTTATGATCTTGTGCCAGACTAAAATTAGCTGAGTAAATATCCTTGTGCAGTTACAAATATTCCAAGAAACACACTAAATGGCAAATATGGAGTAGATTTAAGATACCTATTTGGATACAGCAGGTTAATGTCATTTTCAATTATAAGCCAAAGTAAGTTCTGAATTTATTTTTTTACTGAAAATAATATATTATATTCTTATTTATTTATTTATTTCAGTTACAACTCCCTTCCCAAGGGACATCAGTAAGTTTCTTTTGTGTAATTTCTATCTTGTCATGTTACAAATATTTTTATCAAATGATTTCTAATTATATAACTGAAATTTGAGTGATTATGTCCAAATATTGCATTTAAATCTCTTTATATACGCAACATTGATCTTCTCTATATTTTCTTTTTTTATTATTTTTACTTTTTTTTTCTATGAACATATCTGAATGGATTTTAACTTTGATGCAAATAATTCATTTTTCCTGGATTTTAGAAGAGATTGAATTATGATTCATATAACAAGCCTAAAAAAATTAAATTCAATTTGAAATTAAGAATCACTTATCTTAGTTGGACTCATCGTGTTTACAATTTGTGACAAATGGATTAATTTTTTTTTATATCTTAAAGTTAAACTCAGATAGTTTTAATTACTGCAACTTTGAAGTTAAATATTTGCTGCACAAAACTTTAAAAGAAATTGAGTTGGGTTTCTTCTCTAAATTTTGAACTAATTATAGTTTCAGGAAGATTGACTATAAGATTTTTGATTAAAAAGAATTTATTTTTGTATTTGGAATGAAATTTATTTTTGTTGTAGACTGATTTTGTGTTCCCTAAATTGTTATTCTTGTCATTAACATGTAAACATTACACTAATCCATTTTGATGTTATTTAATGATTAATAAATTTTGCTAATTATGCTTAAAAAAATGATTCTAAGGTTGTTAAAAGTGTATGCTGCTGATTAGTTAAATGTGTAATATCACAAGTTGTAGGTTCATCTTATCATTGCCTTTTGTAAGTGGATACTGAATAATTTTGTTTCTAGAAAAAAAAAGATCCGGTGAGTGGGTGTTGAATGGATATGCACTTGAGGCAAGATTAAAGATAATAATGTTGTCATTTACCACACACAAATGCAGTTCCTATCTGCATGATGTCAAAAGTGTACCAGAAAGTTTGTTGGTGGGAACACTGAAGTACCATGTTGGTTAATCTGTTACTATTGGATATGGTATAACCATTTTGTGATTTGTTTGGACTTATATACTATTCAGGTGGATAAAAATAGCTTTGAATTGGTACAAGCCAATTGGCAGGAAATTGATTTCTGAATGCTTTTGATTCCAAGTATTCATATCTGAAATTATGGATAGTTTTTTTGACAATGTTTTTAGAATTCAATTGGTTGAACAAAAATAAACTTACCCTCATTCACTATCTGATTATTGCAAATCAGACATCCTCCATCATTTTACTGTTGCATTTATGTTATAAAGATCAAATTTCTGTCTGTGTTTTTTAATGTAACCCAGCAAAAATAGAACATCATAGTGCAATCTTTGTTAGCACTATACTATTAAAATTCTCTGAGAATAAAAGCAAATTGAAGTTCGGTTAATCTTCCTTTATCTGAGTAATTTTAATCGAATATAAATTGAAAGAAACAGTAAAAAAACATGTTCAAGGGAGATAACTTCTGGCTTATTGATTATAGTTGTTTTCTTGAGTTTTCAATTAGTGAAAATAATAAGAGGAATAAGCAAGAAAGAATCCTTGACTTGTTTGCATTTTTTCATTCATAATGGTATACCAATGACAATATTTTAATAATAAAGCTGATATTTACAAATTTACATTTGTAAATAATTTTAATATATATATAAAAAGTGACTTGACATTTAACAAGTCATTTGTGACATTTTACTGAGTTTCTATTTCTAATTTTGCATATATGTTCTATAAATAGGCAGAAAAAGTAATTTGCATTCATAATTTCCAGAAATTCTGAATAGACATTGTAATAAAAACAAACTTGCAATTCGCAGGAGTTAATCAAATATTTCATGGTAATTGCTTGGATGAGCTCTTTGCTATGGTACCTAGACTATGAATTTAAGCGCAATACTAGACTGGCGGAAAAATATCAACACTCTACAGTTGAGCTAGCTAGGTGTGGTCGTAACTTCTATGCTAACATTTTCTTTTCAAGCACTTCTCGCTTGTGGAACTCCCTCCTGGCTCCAAACTATTCAACCAACTTTAATCTGGAAAAATTTAAATGCAATGTCAATTACTATCTACTGTCCTCCTAATTGCTCTTTCTCTGGTTACTAATGTTTTTTTCTTAATTCTTTCACACCCTGTAACCCCTTGCATGCTAGTGGCTGTACTGCCTTACTTGGGTTGATACTGATTAAAAAAAAAAAATGTTAATGAACTAAAAGTATTCTTTTCCAGAATATATTAATTCTTTGTTTTACAAATTGTTTTCTAGACAGTCTTTATGGTTTGGAATAAAGAAATCCATTCTTTTAGAAAACCTGTAGTATATTTTTTCTGGTAATATTTTTAATACCAATATTTTTTTATATTGAAAATGTCTTTGAAGTGTAGAAAATTTTAAAACTTCTAAAGAAATAATTAAATGTTCTATAATTTTCTTCTTTCAGAGAAGAAAATGTTGAAGATGCTAAAAAAGTGAAAAATCAAAAAGAGTAAGAATTTTGATTATTTGTTTCAAAATGGCACAAGATTTTTTTTTTCCATTCTTTGATTTGATTTGGAGCTTATATTTGACAATTTGCTGAAGTTGTATTTATTACTAAATAGGCACCTCACCTGAAATTATTAGAATATCTGAGAGATCACACATATACAAAGAAAATAAAGTTAGAAAAATCTGAAAGTGTGTTTCAATTTACTCAAGTTTAAATATAAAGTTAATATAGCTGGATTGCAGTAACTGATCACACATATACATCTGTAAGTGCACAGGTTCCAAAATAAATGGTGCATCAACAGAATTCAGATCTCAATTTTAATACACTGTATATCCTCTTTGGGGATTAGCACAGGCCCATACTTTTGCATGCATAGAAAATACCCTAATGCAATGCATTATTTCATGCCTTTTGCACATTTACCATTGTAGGCAAGCCAACTGAAAGAGACAGTTGGCATCCCACCATCTACATAATACTAAACTCTAATCTTGTATGGATGTTTGTTCTTAAGATGCAGCTTAAACAATAAATAATACTCCAACCAATTTAGGAGAATATTGTACCTTGAATCCCTGCCAAGTGCAGTACGAAATTTGATTAAAATTAGACTAGGAGTTCTTGAGCTAGGGCCATTTTTCTGTTTTTATGTCATTTTTTATAGGAAATTCAGTATTTGTTTTCAATACACATTCTTATATCGATCCATGTATGTAAACAAATACTTGCATATTCTAACTATTATGCATGTGAAAAATAATAAACATTAAATTATTAAATAAATTTATGTATAACACAACATATATTTATATAATTCACTACACTGCATTGAACTTTTTTATAAGCAATTATCTTGGATGTTTGCCAATTACTTTAAAGGTGAAGGGACTATGTCACATGACTTGATAAATAGATGCACACTGGTTTGCTGCCATTATGTATTTTGAAATAAATGTGAGGAAGACACGTACAATAAAATGTATACTTATTATTTTGAAAAAAATTACCTAGAAAAAAAATGAAACTACATGCACAAAAAGGAGGCATCCCTACTTTATTATTTCAATAAATATGAATCTCCCTAAGCAGACTATTGCTGTTTGGGTTTTTGAATGACCTTCACCATCAATCTGTGTATATAAACAAACACTTGCATATTATCTTTCAACTATTATGTATGTGAAAAATAATAAACATTCATAAATACATTATAACAATATTATTAACATCTATTCTAATTTCACCTTATATTGACAAATATTATGGCTCTTCTCTTGTTTTCAAGCCAAGCACAAAGTAGCTAACTTCAAATTCATTTTTGATAAAGTAGAGACTTAAAACATAATAAAATTTTTAAAAATGAATAATAATAATATAAATTTAACAAAAATGGGGTTTTTATAAAAATTTCTTTCTCCCTCTCCACAAAAAGGAGACATCCACACTTTGTTATTTCAATAAATATGAATCTCAATAAGCAGACAATTACTGTTTGTTTGTGGGGTGGGGATGACCTACACCTTTGAAAATTATGTGATCAGTTTATAGTAAATAACTATGTTTAAAGGGAATGTCTACCTCTTCTGACAAATTAAGTCTTGTTCATGGAATCAATATATGAGACAGGATCCTAGTGGTTGAGCAGGTTGTAACCCAGGTGTAAAGCGGTCACAATCCTGTAACACACCACTTTGGCCCTTACCTGGGCTAGACAGGCGGTCGGAAGGGGCCCGATCCGATCAATTGGCTGGTCATGTCAAGCCCCATCATATATAATCCACCCCAAACCTATAACTGACACTCCTCTTCCCAACCAAAACTAACATTTAACCCTAAATATGTGATGGAAGGCGGTGGCTGAGGGTCAATCAATTTGGGAGAAAAAAAGGATCTGACACACTTGCTAAACCTTCACAGCCGTAATACTTGGATAACGGAAACAAAGGAACATGCATGCTCAAAGACTCCTCCCAAAGAGAGTATATCATTCACGTAGCTCCGACATGGCAAGGCGAATGGGTTTCCCCCTTGTCATGTCCCAATACTGGACTCCGCGGTGGGTAGGGAGCGTGAATGGTGAACAAAAATAAAAACAATCAATGGAAAAAAAGAAATCTTCCAAGAGACCACATGTGGATAACGACTCGGAAACAGAAAATGATAGTGAAAACTTTCCACGATTTATTGTACTTGAAGCAATAAGCAAAAAAGCACTAACAGAAATATCTCCATTTAAAATGCAAAAAGCAATATCAAATATCATCATACCAAAAAATGTAAAAAAACTACAAAATGGAACATTACTAGTGGAAGTGGAAAAAAGATATATGCGGACACATTAATAAGACAAAAAAAACTACAAGAAATAGAAATAAAATCCTACCCACACCAAACCCTAAATTTCTCAAAGGGTGTAGTAAAAAGCAAGGAGCTCTCCCTGTGCACTCTAGAGGAGATAAAAATAGAACTTGAAACTTAAGGAGTTACAAATGTCAGAAGAATCACAATAAAGAAAAATGAAGCAGAGATACAAACTAATACCTACATTCTAACTTTCAACTCCCGCCAAATTCCGACAACAATTAAAATTGGATATGAAATTATAAAAGTGGAACAATACGTACGAAACCCTCTTCAATGCTATAGATGCCACAAATTTGGGCATCACAGAGATTCCTGTAGAAATAACAAAATATGTGGAAAATGTAGTGAGAAAGAACCAGAACATAAAGAAGAGAACTGTCCAAATGAGAGCCTATGCTCAAACTGTTTGGGGAAACCACTCTGCCCTCTCAAAACAATGTAGTATCTACAAACAGGAAAAAGAAATAATAATAATAAAACACAAAAAAAATATATCTTTCTCAGAAGCCCGAAAAGAAGTTAAACATAACATAAAAGAAAACACCTATGCTTCCATGGTGCAAAAAGCAAATAAAATAAACAATGAAGATAAAATAAAAGGTTCAACTAAAATAACAAATTTATGTAAGAAATTAAAAGCTTTCCTTGAAGAATTAAAAACCTTTTTAATCAAACTTAAATCGGATCAAAATAAAACTCAACAACCCAAATCAAATGGAATTAACCCAGAAGGCAAAAAACTCTGGAAAGAAAACATAGAACAAAACTCCAGTGAACCCTCTTCTTCCCAAACCCAAACCAAGAAAATGAAAAATAAACAAAAAGACAAAAAAGTGACAACGGAGCAAGAAAGCACTCGATCAAGATCTAACTCAAAATCAAGAATAAATATATTAAATGAAAATAAATTTGAGCCTATGGAATATATGGAAATAGAAGAGAAAGAAAATAAACAAAATCCAAAACAAAACCAAAAATCTGACCGAAGGACACCACAAGCAGTTGAAGACAAAGCTTCTAAAATCTCAAGAGATGGAAAAAAACTGGAGAGGACAAATGATATAAACCTAGTAGGTAACTTTACCCCAAAAAAATGAAAATATAACCATGGCACATAAGATCCTGCAATGGAACTGTCGTGGAATAAAATCTAATTATAATGACCTACTCATACTTATGTCACTACTGTATCCAGCTGTCATCTGCTTACAGGAAACTTTTTTACAAGAAAATGCTAACTTAAAAATTAAAAATTATAAACAACAAAAAAAAAAAAATGTAAACAGCCTAAATACGCATTCCAAAACCAAAACAATATCGGAAATGATGAGAAAAATAGCTGGAAAAAGTCAAATATCCCCAATAATACATCTTAAAAAGAACAACACTAAAGCAACCAGCAAAAAAGAGATAGCAAACCTACTAGCAGAGACATTTGCAGAAAACTCTAAAATGAACAAAAATCAAAACCTACAAAAGTGTAAACAAAAAGATATAAATAACCAACTAAATTTTTCATCTAAAACTACAGAAGCCTACAACAACCTATTCACCAAAGCAGAACTAATAGAAGCCATAAAAAAATCCCACAATACAGCAGTAGGCCCAGACCAAATCCATTATGAATTTATTAAACAACTACCACAAGAATCGCTGAAATACCTTTCGAATATTTTTAACAATATTTGGACAACTGGGAAATTTCCCAAAATATGGAGAGAATCAATAATTATTCCCATACTCAAAGAAGGAAAAGAGGGAAACAATCCACAAAGTTACCGACCAATAGCATTAACAAGCTGTCTATGTAAGACAATGGAGCGAATGGTCAATGCCAGATTGAGTTGGTTTCTAGAAGAAGGAAAACACATATCAAAATATCAATGTGGATATAATAAAGGAAGAAGTACAATAGATCACATAATAAGACTAGAAACAGCCATAAGAGAGGATATATAAGGATTTTTAACAGATAGACTCTTCCAAGTACAAATAGATGCTACACGTTCTGATTATCAAAAGCAAGAAGAAGGAGTACCACAGGGAAGTGTACTCTCCCCTACACTTTTCAAAATAAAAATAAATGACATAATAAAAATCATCAAATCAGGAATACACTGTAGCCTTTATGTTGATGATTTTACGATATATTACAGATCGAGAAACCTCAACACAGCAGAAAGACAACTTCAACAATGTTTACATCAAATAAACAAATGGACACTCGAAAACAGTTTTAAAATATCAAAAACAAAAACAAAATCTGTACACTTCTGCCAACTGAAAAAATTACACAATAACCCAACTCTAAAACTAGGAAATGAAGAAATACCAGTAGTTCAGCAATATAAATTTCTAGGAATGATCTTTGATAGCAAACTGACCTTTAGACCACGTATCAATTACCTAAAAACAAAATGTTTTAAAGCTCTCCAACTACTGCGAACAGTAGCCCACACAGAATGGGGAGCTAGCAAAGAAACCCTTCTTAAACTTTATAGAACGTTGATCCGCTCCAAACTGGACTATGGTAGCATGGTCTACCAATCAACTAGAAAGTCTTATCTAAAAACAATAAACACAATACACCATGAAGGCCTTCGGATAGCTCTAGGAGCCTATCCCACCTCACCTATAGAGAGTTTACATGTAGAGGCAAATGAACCCCCATTACAACTAAGAAAGGAAAACTAGCAACTCAATACTATCTAAAACTCTCTTCCTGTCCTTCTAACCCCACACACGATTGTGTACTTACACCAAATCACAAAGAGAAATTTAATCTTAACACAAATAAAATCAAAACATTGGGACTCGAATGGAAGGAATCATCCAAGAAAATAATATACAGTTCAATTCAATAACTTAAAACCAACCAATCAAACATACCACCATGGATAATCAAAAATCCAAACATAATATTAAGTTTAAACAAATTATCAAAATCAAAAACACACCCCACAACATACATTGAAAAATTCTCAAAAATAAAAGAAAAATATCAAAACTATGAAAGTATTTACACAGACGGCTCAAAAGACGAAGAAAAAACAGGCAGCACAGCAATAACAAAAAAAACAATTATCAAAAAATGCTTGCCAAATGAAACATCAATTTTCAGTGCAGAAGTCTACGCAATAAAACTAGCACTAAATTTCATATCAAAAAACAAAGGAGAAAACTATATTATTTTCTCAGATTCATTATCTGTATTAACACTTCTAAAAGGGAAAAGACTGGAAAATCCATTAATACAAAGTCTTCTATATAAACTACATTCAATGGAAAAAAGCAAAAATATCATCTTCTGCTGGATTCCTAGCCATGCCGGCATCCAAGGAGGAGATAAGGCAGATACTGCTGCTAAATCATCTTTAAAAATGATAATAGATGAAAATCTTCAAATTCCATATACAGACTTAAAATCTAAAATAAGATAAGAAAACAAATGGCAAAATTCATGGAAAAAACAAACCGGAAATAAACTATTTCAAATTAAACCTAAAATAGGAAAATGGGGAAATAATCTTGGAAATACTCGGAAAAAACAAGTCGTCATAACCAGAACACATATAGGCCACACATACTTAACCCATTCTTGTATATTAAAAAAGACAAATCCACCAAAATGTAGATGTGGAAGCCTAATCACAATAAAACATATTCTATTGGAATGCAAAATCATAACTAAAATAAGACAAAAATATCTCAATGGAAAAGGTTTAAAAAAAATTTTCCAAAATACAGACAGATAAAATATACAATTTTCTCAAAGAAATAAAGATCCTCAAGAAAATATAACCCTTTCAAATAGTGTATGTGTATATGTGTTTATAGACATATATATGCATGTATGGATGTAAATATGAAAATATACAATCAGAAACAATCACAAGAAAAAGCAATCCCAAAAAATACAGAAGATTATGAAACCCAACAGCCTTTCGACCTTTTATACAATATAACCATCTTAAATTCATAAATTAATAAGGCTTCGGCATAAAATGACCCAAATAGGAGTTGACATGCCGTTAAATCCAACATCCATCCATCAATATATGAATTATTAAAACTATTAAATTTATTCCAATGATGTCATATTAATCATTTTAATATGCTGAAAGTTTTGTTGTTTTTTCTCTTCTGTGTATCAGGGACTGCATTTTTTTTTTTTTGACAAAGTTTGAAAACATTTCCATTTATTAATTTATGTTTCATCTAAAATTATATTGTCTAATGTGAGTAATAATGATTATTACAATAACTTGTATTGTAAATACAAATTAAAATATGTGTAATTAATAATAAAACTGATAATATTGTTACCTCATCATTTTGTATCATAAACTGCTTTTAAAAGGAACCCAATGGGTTTATAGGTAGTCTACTATCTTATATATTCAGTGGGCAGGCCTGGGGATTATACTGTCCAGGTAAAGTGTCAAACATTTTGCAGAGTAGCATGGGCATCATATGGGCAGATATTATCTTTCTGAAACATCATATTGCTTTCCTGTTGTAAATTCTGGTACCTTGACATCCTGTTGCCAGGAGTTGGGTCAGTGTGTTGTGGACAAGTACAATCTGAAAAATGTTGCTCCCAAAAACAGCCATGATTTGCTCTGATGGTAAAACTGGCTCTCATCACTGAACTCTACATCATTTGATCCTCTCTAGGTGACATAACTAGAAATGAGCACAATTAGGCAAGTATGGACCTTTGTGCCCACAAAAAGACACAGTGTTGAAAGGATATTTTTTTTCCCCCTTAACACTGCTATTATTTTAACTACCTTCACTCTTAGGAAATGTTTATTGTAATGAAACCTAAACTTATGAAAGTGAATTTATACATTTTCTTTGTTTTTGAGAATTAACAACAAAAATAATAAAAATTATTTATTTATTAGATTATTTATTTACATATTATTATTTAAATTCTTATTTATTGGAATGTTCGGCAAGACATTGGCAAATTGCCAATTGATTCAAACTTTATAAAATAGTAAATAATAAAAATTTCCTTAGAGTTGGTTCACATATTTTAATAATTTAGTAAATGTTTATAAATTTATGAATAAAAAATTGTTTTCATATTCATTTCTTCATGAATTGGTAAATGATAAATATTGCATTAGTTTTTAAAATGTAAATATAAAATTATTCTTGTAAATAAACAATCAATTAAACAAATAGTGTTTAATATTTTTATTATAAATTCTCAAGAACAAAAAATGTATAAATTCATTTTCATTTCATGTTTATGTTTTATTATAATTCTAAATATTTTTGCAGGTATTTGATCATTGTTTCTAATATCAGAGCACCATGCAACACATTACATACAACATGCACAACAATTCTGCATAACTACAGGTTAATCAGAGTATTCATGTTAACCAATGCCCATTGTTGAAAACATCTTTAATGAGCATATGCACCCAGGTAGTGGACCTTGTACCAAAGGTAGTAGCTCACGTTCTCATGAGTAGAAGGAATGTATACATGTGGAGAAGCAGTTGTATCCAGATGTACAAGTTGGTTGTGGCACTGTGATTATTTTGGCAATGTTCTACTTGGAACACTATGTTTTATCATTCGTATCAGAAGTACTTTGTTGCATGCCACCAAACTCAACGGGATTGATGACCATGTACACCTCTTTATAACAACAATTTTCTTTAATGGTAGGACAATGCACTTTACTACATCGCACAAGTTGTATGAGTCTGCTTCCAGGAGCTTCCAAATTTCATGTTTCTCTTACCAACAAACTCCCATGGAGCACTTTTGGGATGTGCTGAATTAACAAATTTATTCTACAGAACTTTGTCTATGTAACTTGTAGCAATTAAAAGATCTCTTAACATCTCAATTCTAAGAATTTTCAGTAAATAAATTTGATGTTGAGATAGGTTTTCCTTTCAGAATCTCAGATTCTTTTAACAAAGAATAAAACAATTGGTTCATTTATCATAAGCTTTTCTCAGTCAATTTGTAAAATATGTTCCATTATTCTATATTACATTGTGTTCAGGATAGACAAAGCTGAATGAGTTGATCTGGTTGTGTATGGCACCATTTCATTGTTTGACAAGGCATTCTTTTTCTATTGTCTACATTTTTTATATATGGAATAACATGACTTTTTTTTTCTTGGTTTTTCAGATTAAATCTGCTGGTTGTTGGTTCTGGCTGTGGAAATGTCTATCTTTTTGCTTATGGAATTTTTCCTTCTGGCTCCGTGATTCTTATGCATCTGGACATTGAAAATAAGGTCAGTGCCATTATATATTGATTCTTGTGGATCAATTTCTTCATGTAATATTAGTTCTGATATTTTATCTTTTCTACCCATTCAATTTGCCTTTGAATATGACAGACAAAAAACAAAGAATTATCCTGGTTGTGAATTAATCGATGTATAAAAAGTGAGAAACATTCCATTAAAAGTAAGTTGTGTTAATCACTTTTAGAAGAGTTTTTAATGTATAGAACATCGTTTAGACACTCAAATCTTTTTTCTGATTTTTTATTCCCTTCTTGAATAGGCTTTGTTTTCAGCACCCCCTTGAATACTTTTTGTTTTACATTTCACAAATGAGAAAGAATAAAATAGCAGACACCTTTTTTATGTTACCTGCACAAAAAAGGAAACCTAGCACTGGTGTGTGTTAAAAACATTACTGCACATATGTGGGTCATATCTGAACAGATCCTGAGTATTTTCTAATATTATGACATTAAGGTGGGTAATTAATATGGTGGTATTTAATATTATGACATTAGGTGTGGTATGACATATTATGACATTAGGGTGGTATTTAATAGTAAAATTATATTTTGCAACTGTTTTCATCAGTATATCCTAAGATGTTTGATAAAGAAATTTCCATCCATTTTTAACATTTTGAAAACTGGTTGCATGACTTTGTAACTCGGCAATCAGAAGGGACCTTACTACACATGCATGAACACTATCCTGAGGAATTATTCAGTAAATAGTGAAATGTCATTGAGGGATCTTCTGTACTGTGTAATTATCTCATGTTCAGGAGTGGGTCTGTATGTGCGCGTGCACACACACACACATATATATATATATATACATATATATATCAGTGGTGAATACAGGGGTCGGGCTTAGCCTGCTTGACTCAACATTCAAGTATATCTATTTCAAAGCAACAAAGAGTTTTCATAGTGCATCATTTTCATTTTTTAACTTTAGCTGGATCCAAAATTGTCTTAACTCTGTGCCTCAAAATATTGACTGAAATACATTTTGTTGATATTCTTCATAATAAAGAAGGAAGAAAGAAAAAAAATAAGTAAGTAAAAAAACAAATTGAAATAAAAATAATGTGACTAGTCAGGCTGAGTAGGTCTGAGCCTGATCGAAGCTGGAGACATACTTAATAGACAATGCATTTCTTGCTTTAATTTTATAATCTTTTAAAAATCTCTAATGACTTGTATGTCCTGTTTTTCAAAGAACACATTTTTATTTCAACTTATTGTTTACAAATGTCTATTTTAAATAATTTATTCTGTGCAGTATAAGGTTTTTTAGCAGAATGTATCTTTTGAGAAAGGGCAAATTAAATTTAACCCGACCTTAAATTCAGCGAAATCACAGAAGATAGCAGCCTTAGTTCATCAACTGGAGGGTTGGGGTGAGGAGTGTGACTGGGGTAGTGTTGAGGAAATATAACATCAGTCAGCAGTACTGATTATAAATGTACAATAAAATTCACAAACGGAGACCTAAATAAACACACTAATGAATAGATATACAAAGACACACTTGAGATACACACATTATTTAAAAAAAAAAACATGGCTTTGTCTTCTCTTTTTTTCTTACATGTCTGGAAAAATTTTTTATAATGTTTATTTTTATAGAATTGTTACAATTAGTATAAATATAACAAAATGTGTTTTTTTTTTTTTTTTTAATTTCATGCACAGAGATTTTTAAAAATTATATATTTTAGTTAGAGTAAAAGAATCATTTTAGCATCTAAGTTATAACAATATTATATTTTGTTAAAGATTGTAATGAGCCCAACAAACATTGATGATTTAGAGTCACCACTGAGATATATAGAAGTGGAAGCCACTTACAGTGATCACATTAGGGCAGGGTCTTTAGATGCCATTAACCAGTTGATAACATTAAGCAAAGGATATAAAACTTGAAATAATTATTGTTTCTGTCATTACACATAGCCACTTTTAACACCATTTGAGGATTTTGATAACAATATGTGGAACTTAGATTATAGTAAGCAGATAGTTTTTAAATGGAATAATTCGGACAGACTGATTTTAATAAAATTAACTGATTAATAAGAATATCCATTTTTATAATTAAAAAATTCCTGTTTCTCTTATTACCTCTCACTCATTCTCTCTAGGCTAAAAATTTATAGATCTCATTGAATCATTATTTATTATTTCTTGGAATAAATGTGTGCATTTTATATATCATCATCATCATTGTAATTCTACAGCTAGGCAAAGTCCTTTCCTTCTGTGATGTCTATGACTGTGCTATTTATTGTCATGTTTTATCAGAAAACCCATCTCTTTCATCTCACTATCTTCTATATGGTCTTTTCCTACTGCATTTGTCATTCCATTGGGCACCAATCAACCAATGTTTTGCTTTATCTTTTATCTTTTTTTTCTTGCTCTGTTTTTTGCTGTCAAAAATAGGGAGGAACTTTAAATATGAGCTCATGTAGAGCAAATGCTTGCATTAAAAGATTGAAGGTAATAAAGATATAGAAAAAATTGGGAACTATAATGACGTGATGTTGAAGGTAAGCAGTGGGTATAATGCAAAGCTGCATGTTTCAAAAAATAAAAAGTTCCACCAATAGTCACACTGGCTGATATATATTCTAGAAGTAACAACAAATAAACACCTGTTTTGCATCAAAATATGAAAATTGGAAAATCACCAAGCAAAAATAGTATAGTAACAGACATTTTTGAAAGATGATGTATAATAATCCCACAAAGGAAAAATAACTCAAAACTTCAGTTTAGGAATAACAATCCTTTGTTTTGTATACAAAAAATGTCAGTGTATTCTAACAATTCACAGTCAAAAAAGTTTTATCAAATAATTTTCATTTAAAATGACCTGGCCACATTTTGTGACTAAATTTTATGTTTGGTTATCATTTTTTAATTTTTTCTCTTGTATTTTCAATTTTAGTTTATTGTAAGCAGAAAGCCAAATGTTTGTTAAAGACTCATTCAAGTTTTTTAATTGGCAAAAATATAATTTTCTTGATTTGTTTATTAAAGTAAAATTAGTTCTTACAATTAGATCCTAATGTTTTTTCACATTTAGAGATAAATAATAGAAATATGTAAATTTAATTCCTTCAACATTCATTCAGGTTTTATTTACCAGTTGAAAGCAAAGTGTTTAAGTTTTATTACTGTGTGTGCGTGTATGTTTCATTTATATAAAGCCAACTACTGTTGGTGAGAAGTAAGATTTTTATTTTATTTTAAGAAACTAGTCACTTTTTGAATAAATATAATAAAGTTTTAATTTAAAATGTTGTAGTGTCCTAATATTATCCTCCAAAAAATCTAACATGTCATCTCAAAGTAATGTTTTCTCATCCCAGGGATGATGTTAACTTTGATCCCTGATTGGAAATCTCAGCACTTGAAATCTTGAGATCAAACAATGCCAAGGTATGGCTGATGATCTGAATAATTGATTATGCAATATGTTGGAAGATAAGTTATTTCAACTTTCATTTAATAGATAAATTGATTGTTTAAATTTCATATGAAAAAGAAGCTGACTTCATAAAAATATTGCTACCTGCTGATTTGGTTCAGACGTTAATCAGTTGAAATTCTCAATGAATTTAAAAAATATTTGTTTGAAGTTTTCTTATCTCTGATTATTTTTTTCTCAGAAACGTCAAGTTAAATCAGCCATGATTTCACAAGACCTTTATACACTGTGGCTAGTTCTAGAAGTTAGTGAAGAGGAATCAGAAACATTCCATTATTATCTGGTATCAGTAAGTAAAACTAATTTATCTTTTCCATTTTTCTTATTTGGTTTATATTTTTTTCTTTCTAAAATGTACCAAAAAAAAAAAACTGAATTAGTTGCATATCTGCAATCAGAATGAGTTTTGGTGTTTGGGATGAGATAAAAAAATAAACCAACAACATTACCTTCTGTGACTTTGATGAGTCCTTCTCATACCAGGAATTGTTTTGACTATTGAACATTTTTCTTTGTGGGTTTTATTGTCACTACAATGTTTCAGCTATGACCATATATGGAAGAAGAAAGGATCGCAGTCTGTTTACGATAAGGCCCAAATAATTCTTAAAGAGTATATACTCCTGGAGAGTGAAAATATTGAAGGAAGTGGCATATATATATTTAATGGACAAAGGCATGAGTAAGGTAAAATGTGAATTTCAATGCTACCCCCCCCCCCACCTATAAAGATAAAAAAATTGCCTGTATTACAAGGGTTACTTACTGGAAATAATCTGATTTAATTTGCCACCATTTCTTTTTTTGTTTGCCTTCATTTTCTAGACAAAAAAGGATCTCACTGTTTACTTACAGATTATCCATTTGAATAAGGTTGTAGAGGGATATTGCACCAAAATGAAAGACTTGAATAATCCAAACAATATTTGGAATTAGTAAAATGCCATTGGGTGGGAGGATATTTTAGCACCAAAATCCATATCCTGACTGTCTTTTTGGCTGCTTTTCAGTTTTTCAGCATAGTGTCAGCATGAAAAAAGAAAAAAAAGACTTGGATCTATACATTTAAGATATTTCATTTTCCACCAGTACTAAAGTTCAGTGCTTGTAAAAGCAAGAATCTGAAATGCTGGTTTTTGAGGCAGGTGGATCCTCCCTAACCTGAAAGATTCTTACATTTCCACCATTTCTTTTAGTGCCATACTAAACATCATCAATATCTACTGACCTTTAATATCAAAGTGAACACATGTTAAAATATTTCTACAGTGGTCTCTACTTCTCACAACCAGCACCAGAAACAAAATACTGAGGAATTTTACTGAATAATGGTACCAAAGTAAATGAGTATTTTTGTATTTATGTATTAATTAAATTTATTTAATTGTAGTTATTTGTATATTTGTACAATTTGTGTATTATTTAATTATTTTATTTAATTTATACAAAATACCCTAAGAAATCAATAATAAAGAACTTAAAACTTAACAAACGGCCCTATGCAATAGCATGATAAAATAACCATATTCTGACTTGTAATTTTTTCTACTCAATAGACTTTAGAATAATGTAAAATATAACTGTTCCCACATTTCAAATAAACATTATGGTAATAACAATAAATCTGACTTTGCTATCCATAATGCCCTATTGACCAGCATATATAGTCAAGCTACCCTGCAACACACATGACCTAAAGATTATGTTCAAGCATCAACAGACTGTCGCCACTCAGTGTTGAACTCAACTATATATATATATATATATATATATATATAGTTCCTCTCATTCCCTATGGAACATTGGGCTCCTTTTAACACTGCATCCAAGGATGTGCTAATAGTAGGATTTTCAGTGGCATGCACACTTTTTAGGATGATGTGATCTAGTTTGAATTCAGTTTAATTCTCATAGACTGGTTGCCATCCAAAGCTATAGGACCCATTCTGTTCTGTCCTATTTTATCCATAGTTGGGAGAAGAGATGGATTCATACCTTTCTGAAGGTTATTAGCACATAAGTGAATGTAATGAACTCAACTAGAATTCAACCTCGGCTCTCTGATTCCTCAATCTGAGGCACAATCCGTCACTCCACTATTCCTTCACACACAGACACACACAAATTAATTTTTGGGAGTTTTCTTGTTATGGCATAGGATGGGTAAAAGAGAATTTTGAGTGTTGAATATTGCAAATTGATGGAGTGTGGATAGCATAATGGTTAATGGCATAACAAATGAAATGAGTTTCAATTTGGGCTTAGAATGCTTATTTACTCATGGAAATGGTATGACTCAACTTCCCTCTGCATTCTGTTCCATTACCAAATATTTTAACAAAAAATGTGTTATTACTGATATGTCACAATGGTTTAAGATGAGTAAGTGCTTTGGTAAACTCCTCACCTTACCAAAGTAAGAAGTTATATCAAGAAAATGCAACCTTTATTGTCAAACTTGACTGGGCTCGATCATTGTAATCTAATCACCAGAATTTTTCTCCTTCAAACAATTCTGCTTATTCACTCAATCAGAATTTAGATTTTTTTTTTTTAATTATGTCTGTCTTTATTTTTTTCTAGATTGACACAACCCTGTTGGCTTCCAGGCACAAAGAACTTCGACTTCTTGCTCTCAAATACGCTGAACTTTCTTCTCTCTTAGAAGTAAGGAAACAAAGAACATTTTTCATCCACATCTGGTTTTGATCACCAGACATTTTGGGGTCTTCTCAAAATCTACAAATTTTGTCCCTTTTTTTTTTCTCCTTATATATAACTTCTTTATCATGGCTACATTTTCATGTCAGACTTTGGTTATCTTTTATTATTGTCTCTCTCAAAACAATTCACTGGTGAATATAAAAACAAACATAATGATCAAAAGAAAGAATATCAAAGTTTCTTAAACTTAACAGACAAACAATTATAATGATTCAAGGTTTTCTCCCTTTTTCTCAAACTCTGCATTGACCAAACAAATGTTATCTACCTTCAATAAGAAAATATGGTTGAAATTATTCATTGGAAGAAACAAAAGAAGAGTTCAAATTTGTATCAATATGAAATACATTATCCATATAATTATCCATATCAAAGTAATAAAATTAATCCTTATTGATACAGCTCAGTGATAAAAGCAATGTACTGAATCTTTTCTTCGGGTTGGCGAGGCTAATGGCAATAATAGTGAAAATCTGATCAGTTGTGTTTAGAAAACACTATTCAACGACATCTGTTTTAATCCATAACAGTGGTAGACTAAAAGATTGAAGGTTATAAAACTTGGGGTTGCATTTTTAATGGTGGTGTAGTGAGGTTTGTTACTATTTTTTTCCTTTATATTATAGTATCTCAACTCAACCATCCAGCAAATGACAGAAGCCTGGGAAGACATCCTCATGGAAATGGATGACAAGCTTTTAAAATTTGCTGAGGAGAAGAAAAAGGTTTGTAACTGTTTGACATTTGATCATGTTCACTTTCTTCTTTGTTTTCAATGCATTTTTATAGTAAACATTATTTGCGATGCATTTAAATTAATATTTAAGTTATATAGGCATTCTCTCTGACAGACGTAGTCTCATCAAAGGAAAGTAACTCTCCCTGTAGGTATAGCAATACTGCCTTTTATACCATATCTAATTTACATATAATTACATCTACCCTGAACCTAAGAGGCTTTATACTTTTAGTTGATCTTTGACTTCTATGAATAACCCTGGGAGATGTCATCTGTCACTTCAAGGGAGTCTCTTTATTTCTTTTTATAGGAGATTTAGTTCTTAACTGATTCTCTCCATTTGAATCATCATATTTCTGGTCACTCTCATCCCCAGATTGTTCATCACTATTACTGGATACATTCATTCTCTCCTTTTACTTCAGTTCTTCACTTTCATATCTCAGATGGTCTTCCTGATTACTCTCAATACTGAATTCATTCATCCTTTCTTGCATCATCTGTTCTTCTGCTTCCTCTTCCTTTTCCATAACCTCATACTCTCTTGTGCTTCTAAATAGGTCTTCATGAGCCAGTATTCCCTGTCCCTTCTTTGTCAACACAGCTGTGTTAAATACCTTTTGCACGACAAGATTCGCCTTTTCAGGACTTAAATCCTTGTCCTTTCTGTACCACACACTTTCATTCATTACAAATGACAGTAATTGGAGCTCTTATTTGTCTTCCTATCAATGCGGATGGGCTTTGTCTTCTGCTTGCATGTGGAATAGCTCTATAACTTATAAGTAATCTGGGTAAATAACTATATATAACAATCCACTGGAGAGAATGCTTTTAATTCCATTGTTACCATTTGAACTATTCTCTCACAATTCCATTTGACTGTGGCTGGTAAGGTGGTGTTTTGTATGGAATGCGGCCAGTACGTTTTAACAATGCACATAAACTTTCTTTACAAAACTCAGGTGCATTGTTGGAGATTAAGATTTTTGGAACTCCATTTCTTGAAAACACTATCCTTAACACCCATTTCACAGTAGTGGCTTTTCTATCTGTGACTTTAATAACTTCAGACTAACCTGAATACAAGTTGACTAATAGAAATAGTCCTATATACCTTTAATGTAGGCATGATTCATATGTACTTGTGTCCATAGTTCCATTTTCTTTGGCTGAGAGTGAATTTTAATTTGCCTAAATTTCTTTATTTCTGCACACTTTGGGCATTTTTTAACATACTCTTCCACATCTCTCAACTAGCCTGGCCACCATTTGCATTAGATTTTTGAATCAATTCCATTTGTTGTAAGAACTTCACACATGCTTCCAGATTCATATCGTGAGCTTGAAGCTGCTCTAGAATTTTATGCTTGTACAAGATGTCAAACAATCCTTCAATCAGTCTCAGCACAATTAGCTCGTCATTGATAGACATTTGTTTCAAACACATTCTTTCAAACTCACCATATCTTGACGCTTCTTTCAATTGCTGTACATATTGCATAATCGCTTCAAGAAATTTAGTTTTTTCTGCTATGAACAATCTTATTTTTGGTTGTATATTTGCTTTTATGGTGGCAGCAATTTCTTCATAGGCTAAATCTTCCAACACTTTGGAATAAACCATGATGGAGATTTTTTCATGGCCTCACACCTTGCTGAGGCAAAAAACAAATCTGTAACTTCATTTTCTCCTCAACTAGCTTTGGTGTCCTTTGACTTTTTAACTCTCGCTAATGCTGTGAAACACCTAGGCCAGGTTTCCACATATTCAGGATCCTCTATCGTGGTTAAGTAACCAATTGGAGATGCCATATTGTTATTATAGGTATTCTCTCTGACAGAAGTAGTTTCGTCAAGAGAAGGTAACTCCCCCCATAGGTATAGCGACACTGCCTTTTGTACCGTACTTAATTTACATATCACTACATAGTTGTTTCTGGATTATCTCCCCTTGAGTTTTTATTTACACTCGACTTGTTTGACTGAATCTTTTTTCTACCAATTACTTTTGTGTTCATATCTCGTGAGGTCCTTTGTCTGTTATTAAAAAAAAACAAAAAACTTCAATGGAGATGAGGATGATCCCAAAATAAATTAATGAACATTGACAAGGTCTCATTTTAAAAATTAGTTTGACTAGTGAATTAAATTCCTCTTGCTTATACAGTTCTTTTCTTTGTCTACTAGTAAATATGGCTGTCAAGTTAGAAATGTTGAAGTAGGGAAGTGAGAAATGAGCCTAAAATATGGAACAAGGATGACATGTTTATAAGATTATAATAAGTTTAATATGGGAAATAAGTTGATTTTCATATTACCTATAAGAAAATATTTGATCTACTACATGGACCCTTGAACTGTTATCTGTAGGAGTCCAAAAGTGATATTAATATGTCAGGAAAAATAGTCCGTACTTGACATTGAGATTATGAAATAAAGGATATGGGATGAGTCAGGTGTGCAGGCGGTGTAATTTTATTTGAAAAGCATTTGGTAAACATGTGGCATTGAATGTGTTATTCATACATTGATGAATATATTTTCTATCTGATTTTCTAGGATGAGGGGTTATCACTATTTACATTATATGCATTCAGACTAATGTCCTCATCTTCATTATTATTATCCCAACATTTTGGTTGTTGTGCCCTTTGACCTTCTTCAGGTGTTTGTTGGTCCGGGTAACTTCAGGGAATTTCAAACTGAAGCCATTTATTTAATCCACGGTGGGAGATTGTTCTCATCCCGCTGTCCATCACAAAGGATATATTCTGTCTTGTTCTTATTCAACACTGCTCACTTATTACTCACTCTGTCTCCATTGAATCTAAGTCTACATGGCCCAGGAATTGAACCCATGATTATTATATCTCCAAGCTTAGGATTGTCTCAGTAATTGTGAGTTCAATCCCTAGCCTGGGTGGTACAGACTCAGGCTCAGTGGAAATAGGGAGCAATAAATAAATACTAAAAAATGATAATTCCTTATTCCAGAAATTCAAACAGAAAACTTATAGTTTGATTAGTATCACTGTATTCGAAGTGAGAATGTTAATGACTGACATGACAGACTGCACAAAATATAATATAAAAAAATTTGCCTTATGACATGGACAACAGCATGAGAAAGGGGAAATGCCATATTCTTCCAGGGGTCAGAGTTCAAAGGCTTTATAACTTAATTCATTAATGAATAAGTACTGAAAGTTTTATTAAAATCTCTTGTTTTATCTTTAGTAGACTTTGTAAAATTTGAATGTAAATTTGATAAAAATTGACAATGAACATTTTTCCAATTTTTTTACATTTATTTACAGTTTTAAGTGTAAAGAAATAAACAGCAATTTATGAAATGAGCAATTTTCTTTTTATTTAATGTAAGAAAATAATTTTAAATAATTTCTTTAATTTTTTTTTAATTATATGAAAAAATCATTGATTAAATCTATATAATTGAATATTTTCTTTGTCAATCAGTGTTAATTTTTAGATAATTCTTTGGTCATTGTTTTGGGAAAGCTCCAAAAACTGTTTTACCACAAAATTTGGATGGCCATTTTGTGATGTTTTCCAGGATCCTAGCAGTTCAGTTGAACTGAATTTTTAATTTCACATCTCACTGCTCAATTTTATTTTAGTGGATTCACATGTTTGAGTAGACATGCTTGATTTTTATTTTTATTTTCTGAAACAGTGAAATTAAATATCATCCATCTTAGATTTTTTTAATCTATGCTGGTTGATATTAATCCCACTAAATAAAATTGTGCCTCCTGACTGGAATTGAACCCGTATCCATTTTTTTTCCATTAGGGAAAGCACTCCTATATCTGAAGTACTCCTTTAACAATTTGGCTATGGGAGACCAAACATGATAAAGCAAAACTCATTTACCTATTTCAGGAAAATGCACATCTTTCACTGAGATTTCTTTCAATCCATATCTGTTAGCTTCATTTTCTGTACTCAAAACGTGAACACAGTAATTTTGGCAATTTGACATGGTGTAATGGTTAACAAGCTTATTTTGCTACAACAATTACGACTGAGTAGTGAGTTCAATCCTCACTGGGTGCTCCACACTTTCGGCCTTGTACCACATCTAAGCTACACTTAGAAAATCACCATAAACGCAGCAATTTTTAAATGGATTTTTTATCTGACATTAAAGTAATAAGCAATAATGTTGAAAAAAAATCCATTTAAAAATTTCATTTAACTGCCAAGGAGGGAATACCATCACAAGAAATTGGTCTTTATTCAAAATCTATGCTTATTATTTGACAAATATTCTCTGCTGAAATGAGGGTACATCTTTTAATGCTATTACACAAGTGTGGTAGATGCTTTTTTTTTTGTTTAATGGTGTATTAATATTGGGGTTTTTTCTTTTGTTTTTTTTCATTTTACTTCTGTAGCAGTGTGGAAATTCTCGACCAGCTGTATCCGTTTCTACAGATTTTCTGGAAATGTTGCTGATGGGAAAAGCAAGGTAGGATTATTTTATTACTGAATTATTTTTCTTCATTTCAAATTCCGCTACAGGTTGTGAAAGGGGTGAACTTGTTTTGTAGCACTTCTGTTGGTGCCTTCATTAAATACACACATCTTCTTGTCCAGACATTGAAAACCTATATATGCTCGTGTTTTTTTTTTTGTACCCGAAGTGTAAACAAAGTATTTTCTAAGGAATCAATGGATTTCTTATCTAACATTATTTCTTGCAACTCCAAATGTTATTTTGTGGGTATCCATGTTTGAGTAGAGGCTCTGTTTACTGGCCCATCCATTTGAGTGACTTAATAATGAAAATGCCCTTTCAAGAAGATCTGAACAAGTGAATGTCTGATCTTCAAAAGGATAATTGAAACCTTATTGGTCTGTGATGGTCTCTGTGCCTGGGTGGTCTAAAGCACACTAGGTCAAACATTGGTTTCTCCTACAAAGAGGGACAGAAGAACCCTGCAGGAGATCACATTTTCTTTATTAAGTCTCTTGAATGTACAGAATTGTAGATGGAATTGACACTGTTTATAAAAATAGGCTGTCTACTCAAACATGGCTAACCATAAAATAACATTTCAAGCAGTAGAAAATAATGTCACCAAAAACAACCAAAAAAAAAAACAAATGTTAAACAAAACAACCCTCTACGGGAAATCTTTATCAGAAAAACCCTTAAAAATAGATACTCATGCACCAGAAACATGCAGAACATTATTAGTACACTCAACAGCCAAATATTAAAAGCATTTCAAGATGGCAAAACAGCAAGGTTAAAACCATCTTGTAATTGTAGAACTGGAACTATTTGTCCAGTTGGAGGCACCTGTAATTCGGAAAATGTGGTATACCAGTCTACCATTTTCCTGAAAGATAACACCAAGGGTACAAAGACATACATAAGAATATCCGCCGGAAATTGGAAACAAAGACTATACAATTTAAATGCAATATCAATTGTTTTTTACGGCCTTCTTGTTTCCGCTTCTTTTCTTGCTCTCTATTCTTAATGTTTTACTTTTTCTCATTCTTTTATAATCAGTAACCTATTGCGTCTTAGTGGCTTTATTGCTTTGCTTGGGGTGAAATGATTAAAAAAAAAAAAGATGAAGAAAAGCTAAGTTAATAATCCTAAGTTTTATTTTTCCATTTTGAGGTGACAGATTCACTGCAACAAATATATTGATTTGTTTTTGTTGCTTTTTATTGCAATGTTTGTTGTTATGATTCATTTGTTGTTAAATTTCAAGATGTAAAGATATAGTAATATATTTCTGTTTCTAGGAAAATTGTGCTGTGTGATTATGCTAGAATCTATCATACACATTTGTTCATGCATTGAACATGGCTGTCACATTCAGTCTAATTCTCCTGCAATACATTTAGAGATTCTTGAGAAAAACCAAAAAATCTGCAATATAAGTGTACCATTAGATTTGTGGCAATGTCTCATCATTTTACAGTTGAAATGGCTGGATGTAACTGTAAGTTCTATGCTAACAGTTTCTTCTCTCGCACATCTTGCTTGTGGAACTCTTTACTGGCATTTCAGTAAAATTTATCTTCAAAAATTAAATGCAATGTCAATCGTTATTTTTTGTGTTAATTCCTATTCTTTTATTGTTATTTCTCCTTAATAATGTTTCATATCCTTCACACTCACTAAGTAACTCTTTGCATCTTAGTGGTTTTGCTGCCTTGCTTGTGGTGAAATAATTTAAAAAAAGATAAAAAGAAATTGGACAAGATTTGAATTGGTATTTTATATTGAGAACGGCTTTCATGGATGATGCCTTAACCAGTTAGGCTAACAAGATTGTTATGATTATAAGGATTCTCATCTGCTGTTCTGGTGTCTTTTGAATCTATTCTATGTTGTATTCATTTTAATGAACTCTAGCTTTTGTCTTAAGTTAACAATTGAATCTTTTTCTTTTCAGTACTGAACTTCGTTTATTCCTTCTTCATGAATTGACAGAGAAGGTAAGTCTGCAAATATGCATATACATTGTTATTATTATTATTATTATCTATAATCAAATAAAAGAGATCTTTATTAAATATTTGTTCATGTAACGTTAAATATCTTAGGTTGCCTATTGCTTGAACACTAAACATTTTGGAGACCTGTAATATTAAGGTTAACAGATCATTTAAGATGTTTAAGACAACTTCAGGTTTCACTTATTGCTCCTTAACTATGACCTTGTGCCTGGCTGAGCTAAGCTTACATAATTGTGTATTTTGCTGTAGAACGTTAGCAAGTCTTACTGAGATCTATGTTCACTGGTAGCTAAAATTTTAAGCATAGAATATTCAGGTAGCAGTCCTTCATTCAAACATGTTTTATTGAATAAAATGAACAAGAAATGTCTGTTAAAGATCTTGGTGAATTTCTCCTGGTGTTGAATAAGTCATTTGATGTCAGGTAGAAACTTGTAAAGGGACTTGCGTGTTCAGAGTAATTTCAACCATCATCGGTCATTTTCAATGTAAATGTTTCAGTAACTACAATGTATCTGCTTTTATTTTTTGATCTTTCTCCAAGATCATCTTACTACCAAAAAGTTCAAATTTGTATTTGTCTGTCCACAATACATTTTGCTAAATTATGAATATTTTGTATGAGAAAAAATATATTTTGTTTACACCATTAACCACTCATCATTTGATTTTGCTATACCATCTAGTTTATGTATAATTGGAAAATAAAATCACCTTTCAACAAGACACTGATCGAAAAGACTCTTCTAAATTATGTCAAAATTATCTCAAGTTAAAAAAAAAAAAAAAAAAAAAAGAGAACAAAATTTTGGAAATTATGACTTGGCTGCCTCAATCCCCTGATCTCTCTCCCATTTAATTAGTCTGGGATGAATCAGATTAAGAGATTTTGAAGAGAATACACAAAGAGTAAGAGTGAGCTTTTTCAGTTCTTCACCAATGCTCGGAAAAGTCTGCCATCTACTTTTTTCAAAAACAGTTGGAAAGAATGGCAAGAATTTGTAAAGCAGTAATTAAGGCAGGTGTTGGTTTTATTGATGCAAATAAAATATGATGCTGTTGTATGATAATTTTTCTATAGTTAAGTGCTTATTTTTTGTCATAATAAAAGCAAATACACTGTAGTTTCTGAAATTGTATCTTTTAAAAAAAAATACAAAAATATCTCATTTCAAGATGTTTTATTTTTTTAAAGAAATGTAGAGTTTCCCCAAAATTTTGCCTGTAGTGTATGTTATTAATGATCTGGAGTTTGAATTGAATGTCCTTTTGCATTTTGCATGCTTTGTGGTGGAATAGATTTTTGCATCACATGGCTAAAATGACTTTAATGTTCAAAGACATTTTAACATGTATGTGCCAAGATTGAAACAGATTTTATGTATATTAACACTTTTTATGTGAACGGCTTCTAAATTTTTCTTTTTTTTCTTTTTTTTTGCAGTTGTGCATATTACTTTTGTATTGTCAACAATAATCTGACACTAAGGATCATTGTGGATATGTGTCAAATGTTTTACTTGGAGAGATGATATGTCTTCTAATTACTGTCAGATTATCGTTGACAATACAAACAATACTTTGCCAGTGTAACTGCCAAAAAAAAATGATTAAACATTTTAGTAGCCTTTCACATCAAGACAGAAGCCTACCATCAATAAAATTTGCTTCAATCTTGGCATACTGAATCAACTTAGCCATAGGATACTAAAACCTGTTCCATCACCATAGCATGGGAACCCACAATGATTTCTAACTCTGGCTGTTTCACATCTACCTTCTTTCTTTGAAAATGACCAGCAATGGTTGAAAGTACTAAGAACATTACACAGTTTTGGCAAGTCCCCATGTAACAACTTATTCAGTTCCAAGAGAAACTTACCAAAAGGCTTAACAGATATTCCTTGTCCAAAAATAAATTATTTTATAGTTAATAATATTTAATGTTTCTGTATTTTTATAATTACAATTTATCTTTAGTAAAATTCTAAAAGAAGTTGCTTTAGGTAAGGCTTGAAGCTTGTCTTTCATGGAGGATGCCTTAACCATTTAGGCTACCAAAACTGTCATGATTAAACTTTTTTTGAATGTTATTTTCAGACATAAATAGTATATGTGTTAATGACAGCAATGGTGATTAAATTTGCTATGAAGAATTTGTAAGAGTAGCTTGCTCACCGTTGCTCTTTGGCAGGTATTATTGAGCTTAGTTTAGGCTACATGTTTGCAGCCCCCCCTTTATTTTGATGATCAGCTTCCTTCTGCTATCAAATTATCCATTAGAGTAGCTTGCTATCACCATATGCCAAGCACCTTTATTTTAAGTATTTTACAATGTCTGGCACAAGGCCTCTCTATTGAAGCATCCAGTGAGTGTCAAGCTCACTGGTTATCCTACTATCCATTGCCCTAGGAAGTAAGGAGTTTATTTTCCAGATGGTTTCATTGCAATCATGACCGCTACAATTTTTTGTGCATGAAAAAAATTCCTTTATTCTGTGCAAAACATTTCTCTTGATAAAATTTTGTTAAGCTTACTTATCTATTTCAGGGACTGAAAAAACTTGGTTTGTCTATAGAATCATCATATCTTAGTATCCAGAAATTGGTGACTCGTCTTCAGAAGTAGGTATCAATCTGCATCAAATTTTATTTACTTATTTACTCTCTCTTTTTATTATTGATTTTTATAGATTCTTACATTTAAAAGAATTTGATATTTTTCAAATTCTTTTTTGTATGTTTTGTCTTTTATAATAAATACACAGTATCAAGTTATTAATAAATAATATTTTGTGTTATGTCATTTCATATATGTATTATTTTTGAATTGATAGTTTTCTTGGCTCCGACCAGCTTAAAATGTATGTTGTTCGGTTGAGGGCACATGACAAATCAAGAAACACTAGTTTTTATTTATTTATTTTTGAGGCGTCAAATTCTTACTGATTTTCTTTGTGGTGCTATGATTTGTGTTTGCCAGGTAGATTCCTTTTTTGTTGCAGTCACCATGTTGAAAAGAGCTCCTCCTTTTAACTACAAATGCCCAACTTAAATATTTGACAAATGCCTCAATGTTTTGCTAAGAGGTGACCATTTTCAACTTCCTCACAATTATGTATTTTGGAATGTTTCAGAACTAAAGGTTTCCTTTTAGGTTTCTCTAAATAAACTCTTCCCAAGTATTGCATGAATTGACTAGATAACCTTATGAATTTCTGATGCTTTAACATACATGCAATGCCTATACAAAATATTTATATTTCTTTAGATTTTATTCATCAATCCAAAAGATAGAATTTTATAATATTTAAGATATGCAATGCTATATGATGGTCAAACTGACAATGAGTGTAACAGCTTTAATTGCCACCATTTCCTGTGCAGGGAAGTCATTTTAAAAGAGTAATTTGCCAAATTGATCACTGATTGATTTTCTATGACTAGTTTGCCAATTCAGCTTCAGCAATTCAAACTTGGGGATTCAGATGGCAAATTATCAAAATCTATCCAGATAGAATGTGTGTATTTGTTGTAAAGATTTTTATGACTTGGTATGTACTTCTGTTATTTTGTCAGTGTTGGAGTGTCCATTGTGAGCCATTTGAGTGACCTGCATGGAATGTCTATGTGGTATGACCGATTTGGAGTGGTTGGGCTAACCGAGAAGAGTTTGCATGAAGCAGTTATGGCTGCTGGAACCTTCATGCTGAAAGCCAGTGAATTGCATCAGTAAGTCTCCTCTTCATTTGTTCAAAGAGTTTTGGAAGATGCCTCAAAATATTAATGTATAATACAAGCTTTACACATATTGACTCATCTATCTCGATTGAACTTTGCTTGTATATCTTAACAAATGGTTTTCTTTCAATTTTGTTCACTTCATGTAAAAATGTCATTGTAAGAAAGTAGCAGCAATGAATCTTTTTATACTATTTACGCCATTTGGACTCTTGTCCTCATCTTTATTGCCATATTCATGATGTTTCGGCTGTTGTGCGCTCCAACATTCTTCAGGAGATATACGTTGGAATTTCAAACTGAACTCTTTCTTTGGTCTATGAAAATGGATTAATTCCACTTGACCTGTCTTTTATTTCTTGGATATCTCAGTATCAGTTAATTCCTTTTAGTAACTCAACTCTCCAAGTTTTTGTTCCCTCTGTTGTGACCAGTCACAACTCTTTGGGTCAAGCCACTTTTTGGATTACTCAACCAACACCTTTATCCACTGTGATTGATGCGATTTACAAATTGGAGATGTCAACATCAATCAAGTACAGAAGATTAAATATCTGGGAAGGGCTTTACCAGAAGATAGGAAATGTGACACTGAAATCCAAAGTATGTATTGAATGAGTGAATGATGCCTTCCAAAAGCTAAGCAAAGTGATGAGAAACAGAAAAAATCTTCATAAGAAACCAAAAAAATGGAGGAGCTGTTTTGGCACCGATATCCATTCCTCTTATATGGGTAATTTCCATACAAATAGGGAGAAAACTGAAGACAACAGAGATGTAGTTCTATAGAAGGATATTGAAAATTTCATGAAATTTGCTCAGAATCAAAAAGAGAAAGCTAAAATGTTTTGAACACATAATGAAGAAGGAAAGATTGGAAAACTTAACCTTCATGGGATGGGGAAGCATATTCAGTGGAAGGCAGTGAGCCAACTACCTAACAAGATTGCATGAATGTATGGTAGAACAGGGTACAGAAGACTTTGTAAAAATAGAAAGACTGTTAAGGTATAGGAAGTTGTGGAGAGCCATGATCGCCAGCCTCCTGAAGAGATGCAGCACATAGAAGTGAAAAGATCATTAAAAGGACAGTTGACAAGTTCTGAACTTTTGGGTCTGTCTATATTTCTGAGATGAGGTATTAGGTACATTATTTACATTATTGGCACAGTGGATAAAGGCATTGGTTAGATCCAGTGACAGTGACAGGACCCAAAGAGTGTGAGTTCAATACCCGGTTAAGGCAAGTGGAGAACTTTCAGAAGGAAATTAGCAGGAGATAACTGATAACTGACATCCATCAAACATGGCACGTGGAATTAGAACAGTCTACCCCAGTGAGCGAAATAAAGGATTCAGTTCGAAATTCCAACCACCTGAAGAAGGCCGGAGCGTACAACGGCCGAAACTTTGTGATAAATATGGCGACAAAGATGAGGACAATAGTCCGAATAATGTAAATAATGTTCTGAACTTTTGTATTTTTTTTTTTTTAATCACTTACCTTTCAATTAAACTAACTTTTCAGCTATGGCCTTAAGCCAACCCAGTCCCAGGCATAGCCTTGGTCACGTCACTAAATACCATCTTGTCACTTCACCAACTGCGATTTGGTTATTGGCATAAGACAGAACTGTCCTTTGATCCCTGGCTGAAGAGATCTTCTCAATGCCGAATTTGGGTTTGTTGGATCACCAGAAATTAAGTATATTGTGTGTCACAATTTGCTACTAAAAGTAACAAAATTGTGCCATGGTAAATTTTAATGGATTGTCTACGAATGTCATCTCAGGTTTCCTCAGATGTCGAAATCAATAAGGAATGTGCAACACCGGATTTGATGATAAAAAGACGGAATAAAGGAAAATCCAAAGTTTATTTTCCTTAAGCTAGGTGTTACAGCAACACACTTTTAAAAAGTTCGTAAGTCAATAAAATGCTTGGAGAACTCTATTTACATTATTTGGACTATTGTCCTCATCTTTGTTGCGATATTTATTACAACATTTTGGCCGTCGTATGCTCCAGCCTTCTTCAGGTGGTTGGAATGTTGAACTGAACCCTTTATTTCACTTGCTGGGGTAGACTGTTTTAGTTCCATGTCTAATGGATGTCAGTTATCAGTTATCTCCTGTTAATTCCCCTCTCCAAGTTCTCCACTGCCTTAACCAGGTATTGAACTCACACTCTTTGGGTCCTGTCACTGGATCTATCTAACGCCTTTATCCACTGTGCCATGTGTCCTCAAGAAACGTAATAAATATGATAACAAAGATGAGGACAATAGTCTGAATAATGTAAATAGTATACATAATACCTCATTTCAGAAATATAGACAGATAATGCTTGGAGAAAGTTTAAAAAAAATGTTAACAATTTCTTAAGTATGAATTCCCTTTTGGATCCATGAGAAAGAAAAAAATAAAGTGTTGTCAAACTTCCCAAATTATTGTAAGTTCATTCCTGAGAGAAACAACCTAAAATTAGCAATCAACAGCAACAGTCATTCTGGTTTGAGCTGAGTTAAGCAAATTTGGTTCTGTTCTTGACAAAACTGTAATCTCTCCTCCTCTCCTGATAACTATCCTTTTTGGGTGACTGCTATTAGCTGTTTATATAAAAATTAACATTTTTCTGGAGAAGATCAGAATGTATTGGGAGGTAATTCATATCTATTGGAAAATATTTTTACAATATTAAATTCTTTACTCCCACCCTCCCAACCGATACACAGTGGAGATTTTGGTTTTACCTGGCCAAGATTTCACAGTAAGATCAACTGGCTTTGCCTGACAGTTCTCAGTATTTCTTTATTTCTTCTTTTTCTTTCCTTCCTGTCTTTGTTTTCTTCAGAAGCTTTGTTCAACACTGTCCACAAAACTTTTAACCTCAGTTCTCAATAGAAGCATATTTATTACCCCAAAATTTAGATAACTGAACAAACTCTAATGACTAATTGCATGTACAACACACATTTCGTACCTGTCAATATTATATTTTACTTTGTTCAAATTAGCAAAGCAAGTTTCAAATCCTGAAGGAAACTTACATTATCAAAATTATTGTTCCTTTTTTGCTTTTGACCACACTTTATACTGGTACACAACACCTATTATTCATTTCTTTTGTGTGTTTAATTAGTTATTTTGTATAATTGAATTGACACACAAAAATATATGCTAACTATTCTGCTTTTTTCTTTTTAGGGTGATTGACAGAAGCATCAAGAGTTTGAAAGCATTTTTCAGATGGCTTTATGTTGGTAAGAGGAAGCCTTTTCTTTCTTTTACATTTCAATTTAAACTTATTTGACACTCAGGAAGTAAAATGTCAATTAAAAAAGCCAATATTAGCTGTGGTATTAGCTGCATGGTTACAAAAGTAACATTAATTATTGAGAGAAATTGTTTTAATAGATTTCTTCACTGTACTTATTTAAGAAAACTTAAGCAGATTTCATGTGACCTATGAACTTGGATATGAAGGGCCCTTTTTTTTTTTTTTACAAAGACCAGGAGCTGAGAAGTGTTGATCCTAGGACAAGAAGTTTATCTCATAGTTGTTAATAGAACAAGTTTGGCCCTCACAGGGTGCTCCACCTTTGTAGCCTTGTGCCAAACTAATAGTTGTATTATAAGTTTCTCTTGTTGGGTTAATGATTAATAAGCTGAATTTTTAAAATTATTTTGATTGAGTAATTAGTTAGATTCTCTGAAATTGTGGCTGTGTCAAATTGACCTCAACAAATAAATTTTGCCAGATCACACTGAAATCACTAATTCTTCACAACCTAACCTGTTATTTTGACAGGTGATGTGTTAAGAACATTGTGAAAATTAAATCTAATTCTACAGTCTGATTATTTATTCATATTTGTTAAAAAAAAACAAGAGAAAACATTGTCAGTAGAATGAAAATGGTTACATAAGTTTTGTTTCTTGTTCAGTAATGAAGATGAATTTTTGAATGGAAAGTTTTTTATTAAAATATGATTTAGCATGATATTAAGGAAAAAGAATGTATTCATAAGTAAATTTGATTGCTCAGTTTTGTTTAGCTTATTTGAGTGATCAGGTAATGTTTTATGAGGATATATTAATAAATAGAATATAAAATATATTGATAAATATTATTTAGCCTGAGGAAGTTTTCTGATAGATGTAATGCGTCAAATCAAATTTTTTCCATTTTATCATTCAATTCCATTTTTTTTTATCATTTCCCTTGTATATATATATATATATATATATATATATATATATATATATATATATATGTGTGTGTGTGTGTGTAGTTCATTTCATATCAACTTGGCCAAAATTTCAGAAGCTCCCCATGGGCACCATCTTGGATTTTTTATGAAATTCTAGTATATGATCCCTCATCTATGAGAAACAAAAAAACTCTAAAATTTTAACTACCTTAGGCTTTTAGTTGAAGAGTTATCGTCTCTTGAATTTTGCTGTCAATTTTTGATTTCAAATTAGCAATGATTTGCCAAATTTGGTACTTCATAACTTTGCATTCTTACAAGATACTAAAATCATATTTGGTAGTTTAGTCTAATACATGAAAAATTAGTTATCTTTTTTATTCTGTGTGTTTTTTATGTAGTTACATAGATATAGGCTGCTAAAAATGGGGAAAATTGCTATTTAAAACTAAACCATTAGCAATAAGATAAAAATACATTTGTTTATAATCGTTTGATAATTTGCCTTGTGTAAAACCTTTCAATATTGGTCTTACAAAAATTAGACAAAGATTTGACAATACTCTTTTGACAAAGATTTGCTAATATTCCTGGGGAAAAAAAGTCCATTTTTCTAAAGCTTGGCAAGTTGTGTAGCCAGTTGAATTCATCCCTTATTTTTCACTCATAAAAAAAAGAAACTTTATTCATTGCTAACTTAGTAAACCAGCCATAGAAAATGATAGATGCCATAGAAAGATTTTGCTTTAAAATTCAGTCTGGGTAAAAAGACTAAATAGCAATTTTTCCCATTTTAGAAGCCTATAAATATGAAGCACTATATAGACTACAATTAAAATAATATTTTCTTCCTGTATTAGACAACAGAATGACCAAATATCAATTTGCTATCTTCTATTTGGCAAATCATGACATCAAATTTCAGGAGGCCATAATTCCTAAGCGAAGTGTCTAAGGAAGATAACATTTTGGGGTTTATTGTTTCTCACTCGTGGATACCATATACTAGTATTTCATAAAAATCTGAGATGATATCCATGGGAACTTCTGAAAATTTGTTTGAGTTGATATGGAATGATCCACACACACAATATATATATATATATATATATATATATATATATATATATATATATATATTTTAATTTTGATTAAATAATCATTTTGTGTAATAAAATGCCATCAGAAAACCCACGATTAAAAAAAAAAAAAAATCATTAACATTATGTGCTTTTATATCAATTGTTTTTAATTTATTTTATAGTTATTTTGAGGCTTGGAGGTGACCAACCACCAGCCCAGGAAACAAGCAAGGTAAAAAGAAATGAAGTTTTCATATAAAACAATCCCGCAAGGGAAGTAACTCTTTGCACTTTCTTGTGACATGAAGCAGAGTGATTCTATTCAATCAATTGCTACATCTGCAGCTAGGAAAGTTGGCTGTCTCTTTCATCCTCGGTAATTCTTCTTGCTAGAATGCTTCTTGTACATTTATAAGTCTACCATTCATCCATGCATTGAATATTGCTGCCATATTTAGCCTGTTGGCCCTGTTATATATCTGGATATTCTCAACAAAATCCAAAGAAGGGTTTGTAATGTTATTGGTCCTGACCTGACACCTTGACTTCACTTTCCTACCGCCATGACATGACATTCCTGTTTTTTTTTTTTTTTATAAATATTTTATTTTTTATAAATATTTTCATGGCGATTATTCTAATGAGCTTTTCTCCCTGGTCCCCTGATTACATGAATTTAAGTGTACTATTAGATTGGCAACTAGGTTTGGTTTGGTTTACGTTTAATGGCCCATCAACCATTATGGTCATTTAAGAGTCAGTTTTTGAATTTTGGGATCACACTTTTTTAATATAGTTTATTTGTTTTGAAGTTGGTGCACATGTTAGAATGGTTGTATGCATTAGATTGGTTGTACACATTTTTATTTTAATTAGATTTTGTTGTATAGTCCTATTTTCTTTAAATATGCCATTAAATGATCTACCTTGGTGTGTTCAAATAGTTCTTTCATTGTTCTTGTATTGTAGTACTTTTTCTGTACAGATGAAAAGTCAGCGCAGTCCATCATGAGTTATTTTAGTATGTCCAATATGGAGTCAAGAAAGGATAACTTCCTCCCATTTGTGATTCCCTGTAACCCTGTATCCATTCACCTAGCGTGAATTTTATTGTTAGTAATTTATTTAAATTGCAGTTGTTCTAGTGGATTTGCCATTTATTTTGGATATATGATTGTATTTCTACTTTTAAATCTGTGTATGGAATCTTTTATGTTTGCTCAATGGGCTCTTCATGCGCATTTTTGGCAGCTGTGTCAGCCTTATCATTTCCTCGCATTCCCACGTGACTTGGAATCCAACAAAGAATAATTTCTTTTGTATCTGGCAATGATGTTAATCTGCACAATAGTTTTATGATCAGTGGGTTTTCTAATTTTTTGTTTTGTAGAATTGTCAGTACTGATAGAGAATCTGAAAGAATCAGGAACTTTTTCCTTTTGCTTTGGGAGATGATGTTAAGTGCCAAATCAATGGCTTTTGATTCAGCACTAAAAATAGATGCTTCCTTAGGAAGATGTTTTTGTATGACTTGATTCCCATAAACAGCTGTGCATCCTGTTGTGTCCTTATCCTTAGATCCATCTGTAAATATGGTGCTATATTTGGAATAATAGTTCAGGATTTTATTTAGAGCTTCCTTAAAGATGTGTGGATGTGTGGTGCTTTTGTTGAGGTTACTTAGTTTGAATTCCACTTTTGGTTGTTTTATTTCCCAAGGTGTAATAGGTGGTTTGATGGTGTTGTGTATGTTTTTAAGAGGAATGTTAGCTTCTTCAATTATGCTTTCTATTCGAAGTCCAAAAGATTTTATTGCATTTTCTTTTCTTTGAAATAATTCTTTGTACTTCAGTTTAAATGTGATATTGTGTGCTGGGTTTAATGGGCATGATTTTAGTTTCATATAGAATTGTAGTGCTAGTTTCTGGCTTCGTAGAGCTAAAGGAGGTTCATTTGCTTCTACATACAAACTTTCCACTGGAGATGTTGGAAAGGCACCTAGTGCCAGTCGCAGTCTTTGATGGTGTATTGTTTCTATTTTTTTATATGATTTTCGGGTTGATCCATAAATGAAGCAGCCATAATCTAATTTGGAGGGAACTAATGTTCTATATAATTTTAATAATGTACTTTTATCTGACACCACTCTCATTAATTGAATGGCTTTATTGCATTTTACTTTTAGTTGCTTTATATGGGGAATAAATGTTAATTTTGAATCAAAAAGAAGCTCAAGGAATTTATGTTACTGTACAACAGGAATTTCTATGCCGTCCAATTTTAGAACTGGGTCACAGTGCATTTTTCATATATGGCAAAAATGCATGCATTTAGTTTTGGTCTGAGATATTTTAAATCCATTCTCAATTGTCCACAAATGTTTATTGTGTCATTTTCTTTCAGGAAAGTTTCCTGTAAGCAAACAACATCCGGAAGTTGATTTAAAATGAGGAGTATTAGTTCATCCAAGTTAGCTTTTATACCTCTTATGTTCCATTGGATTATTTTGTTTGACGTATTTCTAGATTTTTGGTGATTTGTTCTTCAATGCCCAGTCATCTGTATCCATTGTTTCCAGAGATTCAAATCTGTTTTCAGTTGAATTTCTTGTTTTTGAAGTAGAGTGTGATCTATCCATCTTGGGATTTTGTTTTGGTTTGTCTGGAGGGAATATTTTTCTTCTTTTCCTCCATGTGCTGGATTTGAAGTTTTTCCAGTCATTTTTTGTGTAGTTGTTGTTTCTGAAGGGTTTGCATTTTGGGGTTGTGTTTGGGGTTTTAAAGTAGCTGAGTTTTTATTTTCAGATATTTGTGGGTTGGTTTCAGGTTTTGTTTTATTTATGTTTTTTAATTCTTTCATCAGTTCCCTCATGTCTTTGAGTAATTTTGTGATGTCTTCCATTTTAATGTTATTTTTGCAGTTTTGTTTATTATTTTCGAGGTTATTTTTTTTTTGCTACTTCTGCATATTTTGTGATTTCTACCATTTGTCTTGCTTCCAGGTAGGTTACATTTTTTGTATATTTCAAACGAATTATTTCTTTTTCTTTCTTCCATATTTCACAGTTTCTGGAATTGGCATGATGGTTTCCCTGGCAATTGATAGTCTTTTTGGCAGTCTATATGTATGTCTTGTTCTCCACATCTCCCACATACCAGTAGACATGTACAACGGTCCTGGTGGTGTCCATATCTTTGGCATTTAAAACATTTCAAGGGGTTCGGGATGTACTGCTCTATTTTTTCTATATTATAGCCAATTTTTAGTTCCTTTGGTGTGGTGGGTGTATTGAAGGTCATGATATAGATATTTGTTTCTTTTATTTTTCCTTCAATTTTAGTTGTGATTCTCTTCACTTCTGTTACTCCCTAGTTTTTTAATTCTTTTTTTATTTCTTCTATTGAACATAAAATTAATTCTCTACTGCGTATCACACCTTTAGAAAAATTTAACCTTTCATGAGGGTAGGCTTTAACTTTCAGGTTATGAAACTGATTCATTTTTAGTAGAAAATTTGCATATTTTTGGTTTTCTATTTCAACAAGTAATGTTCCATTTCTCAGTTTTTTAACCGTTTTGGCAGTGATGTTTTGGGTTATTACTTTTTGAATCAGGAAAGGTGACAGGGTACTTAGGGAAGTTTTCTCAATTGATTCTAATACAATAAATCGGGGAAATGTTTCCTTATAATAGTTTTCATCCTCGGAGTCTAAATCCTTATGTAGTCTCTTGGAGTTTTTTTGGTAGCCATTTATTGTTTTAATTTTCTTCATTATCCATGCTCCCCACCCACCTCGGAGTTCAGTGTTGGGTAGCAGCCAAGGGGGAAACCCATTCGCCCTGGCACTACAGGGCTACATGGATAGTATACTCATATATGGGAAAGGTCTGGAGCACCTGTATGTCTTTAGTTTCACTGACCAAGTCCAGAGGCACTTCAGGTAGTATACAGCCATGTCGTGATTTTTTGTTCCCACACTGATTGACCCTAAGCCACTGCTTTCCATCACATTTTAGGGGTAAGGTGTTAGTATAGTTAGTTTAGGGTTTGGGACTGGGAAAGTTAATTGTAAGTCGTTGTTGTTTTGGGATGGGTTAGATGTGATGGGGCATGACATGACCAGTCGATTGATCGGATCGGGCCTCTCCGACCGCCCATCTAGCCCAAGTAAGGGCCGATGTGGTGTGTTGCTGGGTCGTGACCACTTTATACTTGGGTCATGACCTGCTCAACCACCAGGATCCTGTCCCCAGGCATCATGGGTTGCCACCCACGGCCAACAGTTGGCCCCATCGAGAGACTTTTACCCTCTGCAGGGGTGCAGTTGGCATATTCTGATGCCCCGCCAACAGGGCAGGGCAACTAGGTCTCATTGTTTTACTGCTGAAATAGCTAAATGTAACCATCAGTTCTATTTTAATAGTTTCTTCTCTTGTACTGTGGAACTCTCTTCTGGCATCTTGCTTTCCTGCTCGCTATAATTTTAAAAATTTAAATGCAATGTCAATTGTTGTCTTCTGTCTTACTGAAACCTTTTCTTTTAGTGTCCTTTTTCCCCACTAACATCTTTTCAGTTTCAGTAACCCCTTGCATCTTAGTGGCATTATCACTCGAAAAAAATAGATGATCAAAAACATCAGAATGATTAAATAAATCCATTAAATTTAATAATTATTTTGTATTATTGAAAATTTTTTAGGGTAAGAATATAAAATAGGATATTTTAGTAAATTACACAGACTCTTTACTGGCTCTTGCATTGTAAACATGGCGAAAAAATCTGTGGCATCATTGGAACTTAGAAAACTGATAGTCAAGTTACGTAATGAAGATAAACTCTCGATTGGGGATATTTCAAAGAGTGTGGTGGAAATCTAAAAGTGTTATTCATAGTATTTTAAGAAAACTTGAGGAAACTGAGTCATGTGAAGCCAAGAAACCACCTGGCAGGCCTAGAAAAACTACTGCAATGGAAGACAGATGGATTGGTAATGAATCAAAAAAGGATTGATTTGTGACAGCAACCGCTATTTCTAAAAGAGCTAATGCTAACCTTAGCATTAAAATATCAAGGCACACTATTTCCTGAAGACTTAATGAAATAAATCTGAACAGTCAAGTAGCTTCTATGAAGCCTTACATTTCTAAAAAGAATCGAATAAGCCGATTGAAATTTGCCACTGAACACGTCATATGGACAGAAGAACAGTGGGATTGTGTTCATTTCAGCG